TTATTATTATTATTATTATTATTATTATTATTATTATTATTATTATTATTATATGATAAAAAACCTTAGATATATATATTCAAAACTCATGCTTGCTGGCATTCAAATATCCAGTTGAGTTTGTCTCTGTCACATTGGCTCCTGCCTAATTTGGCATGCTGACAGAATAGACAAAAGCATGATGCATTCATTCTGTTCAGAAATGTAAATTATCTAAATCCTTTCTTTTCTCTTTCAACCCCTCCGTACCATAAGTGGCCCCAGTCTCTAAGGGAAGTTTGGTAGTTCAAAAAGGAAGCCAATACTGGGTCAGCAAAGAAACTTCAGCCTGATAAAAAAAAGTGATTAGATATGACAATTTTGGAATTAACACCATATCTCTACAGCAGTTAGAAGGTGAAACAATCTGACAATTGGGTGTGCTAGTGGAATCAGAAACCCAACTAAATCATTCCATTAGAATTAATGAAAAGATAGGCTTTGGACAAGATTGCATCAGTTTTGTATGTCAATTTGTACATCACTTTTATTATTTTAAAAAGGGTTGTTTTTTTCCATAGAATCTTTGAGTTTACTTCTTCCATTATAGGTGAAATTGTGGCAGAATGTGGGAATGGAGTCAAGAGAGGAATCAACCTGAATTTCTATATAGCCACAAATGGACTTAATCCAACCCCTCCGTTAATCCTTATCCAGTGCCAAAATAGTGCTCAATGTTACTTTGAATACATTTCTGTGCATAGGCATAAGCAATAAATTAATTTAATTGGAACTTTGTATGCGATCCTGGATTTTTGTGTCTGACATCCATTACTGTTTTCAATGACTTACAATGCTGATTACAATTTATTGTATACTATAAAATTGAAGGAAAGAACCAGTGATTAGGCTCAATTCATATTTATCATCTGTAAAAAATCCTGGAAAACTGAGACAGAAGTTGCAACCAGATTCATAAAAACATAATGGCCTGATTTAAATCTTTTGAGTTTCAAAGTATGTTTGGTTGCATAACTTATTTATTTAGTTCTGTTTATATAATTCACAAGGCCACCTGCCTCAAACAAGCAGCTCTGAGTAGCTAGCAAAAAACAAAACCAACAAAAAACAGCAGAAAACACACAAACAAAATTCAAAATATCAATCAGCTGATGTGATTTTTAAAAATGAGAGAGAGAGAGAATGAGAGAGAGAGTCACCAATACAACCATTTCAATACAATTATTTCACAGGCTTCAACTGATCCTACAACCCCATACTTTGAACATAACCACATTTTCAGAGACTTGTAAACAGCCTACAATGTCAGAGCCAATCTGATCTCTTGGGGTGGCGGGTGTGGAATGATATTCTCTAGAAAAAGTGGTACAACAGAAAAGCCTTCCTTCCTGGGTTCCACCAGATGACAGCCTTTAATGGATGGGACATAAAACATGCTTCTTCTGCTGCAGTTTAATACAGAATACATATATTCAGATGATGTTGAGATATTACTGGAACATATTTGTTATATCCTTACTTCAGGAACAGGGATTATGATGGCAAAACGATTGGTATAGATGAGTAGTTGTATTTACATTTCACGTTTGTAGTGTACATTGAAACTAAACTACTGCAGCATTATTCAACAGAAATTTAGATGATCATTATTTCTTTTCCTCTCCCTGGATCTAGAACTTATTTGTTTCATGATTAACATAGATACAAATGTGTGATTCCTTTATTATTAAGGGAAGAAAGACAAGCTAGCAATTCTGTTTCATAAATGTATGAAATCTTGTTCATGGTGAAATATTTTACAGCCTCAAGGACAGGACAAAGCTAGGAGCTTTATTATTGGTTTATTCAAAGGCATTTTTCCAACACTAAAAACCCTCATACAATGACAATCTTAAAATCTAAAATTTAAAATCTTTGTAAATAAAGTCTAGAGGTCACAGGCTTTCAATAAATAAAATCTGCGAGGAACTATATCTTGCTCTATGTTTGAGGTGCTAACAGCTTCACAAGCTGTCAGGAACAAGAAATCAGGAGCCAAGGCAGTTCAAATGAATATATGCTAAGACTTTCTTCAAGAATTTGATTTACTAACAGTCAAAACAAATTGACTGTTGAAAAGTCAACAGAATTCAAGGCGGGATAGATTTAGATCTCTTGTGGATGCAAAGAGACTTGAAACTGATCATAAGTGTAACCCCTCTCTCAAGCTCAGCCTGGTCATATACACAAACATTTTTAAATTCTGAGTTGATGTACTTGTTTTATTTCACTGATTAGTTTCAATTTATTTATTATTTTCAGGTTATATATCGAGCTCTGTCACCTCCAAACTCTGCTGATGACCCTTACAGTCTTAAAATTCAGGCACAGTTGAAAATCACGAACCTTCGAGTACAACTGCTTAAGCGACAATCCTGCCCATGTCATAGCAATGATCTGAATGCAAACCCACCACAGCTAACTTACTACGCAATCTATGATTTTATTGTGAAGGGGAGCTGTTTTTGCAATGGACATGCAGATCGCTGTGCACCTCTTAAAGGTTTTAGGCCTGTCAAAGCAGCAGGAGTCTTCCACGTGGTAAGTTTGTAATGTTCAAATCTTGGAAGAGCAGATAATTCTTTGAAAATCTTGTGCTCATCTAGATGCCATTTTGATGGAACATTAGAATTTCCAGATGAATTTCTCTGAAATATTAGATGCCTTAGAATAATAATGAAGAAAAAATGATTCTTTATTAGGAGCCTATACTTTAAAATGTTACAGTGACAGCCAATAATGTCAAAACAGACTACTGTATATTAACAATCAATATTTTGGCAGACATCTTAGCTATATTAGGATCCATAACACAAACACTAGAACAAGCTAATAGCTTTATTGATTTTATTTTGAGAAGTACCCATGTCAAAAATATTTAGAAACTGTAGGATCCAGTATGAGTGAAGCTTTAAGTTTTGTTTTTTGTTTCTCTTTGCAACTTCTGCTGTTCAAGAATTATGTTCAAGAAACTAATTTAATAAACGCACTTAGGATTTAAAAATGTCTTTAGTATGGGACTAATTGGGGAATACTACTATTTGTATTCAGCCTTAGATTATGATTCCACTTAATATATGCATATCTATTAAATATGAAGGGGCAAAGACCCCCATTGGAGCAGAAAAATATCAGACAAAGAAAAAAAGGCATTTGTTTAATTTACAGCAAATAGGAATTCTAGTTTTTATATCACACCCAACTATTATTTTAACAATATGAGCATATTGTTATACAAGAGAGAGGTGAGGTCTAGGACTTTGTATAATTGTATAATTACAATTCTATAATTCTAATCTGCTCTAGTGTAATAACAATACCTATCCTAACATGAATCACACAAAATATTCTTCACTTCTCCCAAAAAACTCAAGGGATTTGTCTGGAAAATATAATTATCCACATAACTTTAGTGACAAATACTATGGTTTTTATGGAACTTGAGGTCACTTTGAATTAAAATTGACTTATGAGTTCATTTCTGCAAAAGGCACTAATTACAAAGATTTGGCTCCATATAGATGAGCCAGTTATAATGACAGCTTTTGCTTCTCTTAGCTTACGTCATCAGGTGCCTCAGGCTAAAAGAAGATGCAGAAGTCTTGCTAGCACTTTGAATGGAATGGGTATACATATAAATGGGTATACATATGTACATACATATTTATATGCATATAAATGGATATGCTTATTAATAAAATAGATAAATATACAATGGTTGTTACTGAATCAATTCAGTAGGACCTCAAATCCCAATCTTTTGAAATGGCATTAAAGTTCTTGAAAACCTATATGGGCTGCATGCATTTATCTGTCCCTTGGACCTGAACACTTGTTTCAGATAGAAATTTTCTCCTGATTGACTGCTTTGTCGAAACTGGTTATGCCACTCCTTATCTCTGGAGGTTTTAGCATACCCGTGATCTTTTTTCCATGATCTTTTTCCAGTTGCTTGAATTATAAATGATGTTCTTTTCCCTTTATCCATGCACAATTTATGATTATCACAAAAGGTTGCCTGCTGGGTAGCAACCTCTCTGCCTAAGCTGCTGGAGACAGACTAGCTCACCCCATTTGTTCTAGTAGAAAGGGCCTATTTCAGATGCTAAAGATTTTTTTTTTACTATATTGGATTGAAACCTTTTGACCATTTTCTACTATGCTATGTTTTTAAATTGCTGAGCCTTCTTTCCTTCTCCCTATTATGGCCATTTGCAGTGTCCCATGGTCACATGACAATTGCAACATTTATTTCTAGTTTCCAGCAAAAAAATTGGAATAATCAGGTGTAGTCATGTGATGCCAAGGATTACTACTGCAAAGAGTAACAACTGTAATTCCAGACTAAATTACAGTCATAAATCAAGGATTATTTCTATAATAACTTCAGTGTTATTAAAGATATAGTAAATAATATCAATGTTGCAGAAGACTGGATCCAGGAGGGAATCCTGAGCTATCTCCCTCCGTGTAAACATAGATTTAGATCCAGGCACTGGATATGGTTGTTCAAACACTATAACTCCACCTGGTAGTGGGATTATCCATCCCATATTGTTTTGTTTATTAAGAAGGGAGGTTATGGTCAACTTTAACAAATGCTAAAGTTTACCAAAGCATTTTTTGATCTATTAATCAATTTGTCAGAAAAATAGTTTATTCTGCCACAATCCCATGTGGACTTCTAGTGATTGCCTTGTCTCTTCTAAGCATTTACCAACTTGCTGGTTACCTTTTTTAGAATTTTTCCAGATATTAAGGTCAAGCTGATTGGTCTGTAGTTTCATGGGTTTCCTTTGTTCCTTTTTTAAAAAAAAATAGGAACGATGTTAGTTTTTACTACAGTCTTCTGGCATTTCCCCTGTACTCCAGAAGTTCTCAAAAATTACAGTTAGTGGTTCCAAATCACACCTTCCATTTCTTGGCATGCAATCCTTCTAGCCCTAGCAACTTCATTAAAAACACCATGTTATCTCATAACATCTTTGCTAATTTGACTGCTGTTTGTCTTTTATCCCCCATGGTGCATTTTTTGATAGATTGGACTATTTTTTCTTTTGATTAAAAGGAGATGCAAAGAAGTAATTAAGCAGTTCAGCCTTCTCCCTATTATATCTAACTCTTGGCATCTTTTCCCACAAGCACTCTGATAATTTCCTTATCTTTCTTCAAGTTCCACGCATATCTAATAAAACCTTTTTTGTTCTTTTTTATAATTCATTACAACCTCAGTCTCAGAATTCTTAGCCCTTTTTAGGACCTGGTCATAGGGCTATTGAAATTACCTTCTTAGCAATCTTTCAGATAATTAATTTAAATATTTTTAAAGTTTCTTAAAAAATACTACACTTTTGTCAGTCGGTGGATGTAGACAAATAACTAGTTCAAGTTGTATAACTTGTTGGTATTTAAATGTTATCGTTAATGAATTCTTTATCTAATGAAATCTTTCATTTGTAATTTTAATAGGATGTAGGATTACTTATTCAACAGTAGAAATAGTAGAAAAGCTAATATCCAAACTGGAAAAGCCTTTTTTATTTAGGAAATATATTTGACCTCACCCCATTCCTAAGAGGTCTGTAAGGGGCGTGCATAAGTGCACCATCGTGCCTCCCGTCCCTGTCCTATTGTCCCCATTTATTTGTACCTATTTCCTGTATTCTTACTCATGTTTATACTTATACCTATTATCTTGTAAGTGATTGACAAATCAAATAAATAAATAAATATATTTCCATTTAAACATTCTCACAATCACAGTATAATTATACACTCAAAAGAAAAAGAAAAATGTAGTTAATCAAACCAGTTTCAAAGTGGCTTCAAGACAAGTCATACAATACCAAAAAAAAGCCTTTATTTTGTGTAGTTTCAGAACAGAAGATATTTATTGCTGTGGCATTTTGCCTCTCATTCTCTTGAAGAAAGTGTAGTGCAAGATTGATAGTTTAAAACCATTTCCTAAGGATGGTCTTCTGTTATTTTTTTGCTATTGCTTCAAAGGCTTTTACTTTTTCAGCATGCATTCCTCTGACATCTATTAAAAACAAACCTCCCTGCACTTCTAAATTAAAACCCAAGGCATCTTTCAATACAATTAAGAATAATAAAAGGGGGTATAGAGAAGGCAACTTAGTCTACAGCTGATTAGTCACTCCTTTCTTGATACAGTATATGGAGGAACATAAGTCATGAGGGATTTTCTTAAAAAACAACAGGCAGTTTGAAAAGAACTAATTGAATATATTAATTCAAGAACAAAAAGGCAATGGAAGGAAACATGCCCTAGCAACTGTCTTCATGTGTGAAAATCAGTCACTCGTTTATCTTACATAGGTCAACTTTTGTAACACTGTTTGCGTTGTATAGCATAATAAATGACATTACGAGAGAGCTGTCAAGCTAAGAAGAAAAGCAGTCTGAGAGTGAAGTGAAAGGGAAAGGTCTAGTGACAGAATGAAAAATAGCATGTGTGTAAAAGGATTCTGGTTAAATGAACTTGCTTGTGTTGATTCACAAAATAATGAAACAGCCTGGGAAATGTGTCTGTTTAGCCATTCCTTAAGACATTTTCAAATGGAAATATTTAGATCAGTGTTCATCTAGTATCCTCTAGAAATGTTGGGATGCAACTCGTAACTGACATGCTTTTTATGAATATGGTACCACATGATGCACTATATGGGATATTGTCTTTTCCATATCACTGAGCAGGAATACTGAGATTTTTCATATTTACAAAAGGAAATGTCTATGAAGGTTCTCAGTCATCCAGGTCATGGTTGTCCCAAAGGTGCTTTTTCAAGAGACAACTGGACTTTCTGGTTTTTCTTTGAAGACATATCACTTCTCATCCAAGAAGCTTCTTCAGTTCTGAGCTGAAGAAACTTTGTGGATGAGAAGTGAAACATCTTCAAAGAAAAACCAGAAAGTCCAGTTGCCTCTTGAAAAAGTATCTTTAGGACTACCAAAGGAAATGTTTACATTCCAGAATTAACTACAGATGTTAATTGGTAATCATGCAAAATACATTTATATATAAGAATTAGGGGCTTGAAGTCTCTGCAAAAAGTCATCGTTCGTTGAAGCTGGAAGGAAACCTACTGTTATGAATGCCTCCCTTGGATTCTACTTCCAATCCTCTATATAGGACACTGGCTTCAATATGTACATTCCATCATCAATGTAAATATGTGCAATGATAAATCAAATGCAACTGAATGTCTTGTTTGAATATCCTAAATCATATAGTTGACATGTGGGTATAATAACATTGAAGTATTAAGTCCATTAAGTCTTCCCTGCCATTATATACCCTTGTCACAATATTCTAAGCAAAATTGAATAATGTTGCACTGCAGGATCGTAAGAATATTTTATAATATGGCTTCCATAAATATCCTTGCAATACTGTAAATCGTTTCCCAACACAATCAGGCCTTCTTAAGAAAATATCTTTGTCTACAATACTTTTCCTAGTCCTCCACAGATTGCATTTTCATCTTCTAGCTTGACTCTACAACACATACAGTATGATGCATGAAGTGTGTAAAGCAGATGACCACTCTTTTTTACTACTTTGGAGCCAAAATAAATCTGAAATTACAAAATACTAAGAAAAATAATATAAAAAGGAACAGACAAGTATTTAAAGGAAGGTCAATTACAATGGGTATAATTTTATATAAACTAGTTTGTTTAATATATGTATATCTTATTTTTAAATAGAATTAAATAGGAATCAGTCATTCCAAGATTATTCAACAAATGCAACAGTATCATTTATTTTCTACAGGGTGTGTTTGTGATGCTTAAGTGATACTTTCTTTCAGAAAAATACATTTCATTTTTGGCAGAATTTTTTAAGTATTATTGCTTCTATGTTGAGAAAGTTGTGTAGTATAAGTATGTAACAGAAGACTGAAATGTGAATAATAGTTATTGTGTGAGCTATAGCAGCCTCTCCCTATTCTCAGTTTCCCAGCATCTATGCATTTGTTTAATTCTATAAATGGGTTGTGTAGGAAACAGCATTAAGAATATTAAATACTCTTAAAACTAGAAAGTATTACATGCCATGAAATGCATGGTACAGAAGTGTGCTGATTATCTATTGGATGAGCTCTCAGTCATCAGTTTTCAAAAAGGAATTATTTTCGTTCCAAAGGGACGAAATTTATTGCTTTAGAGTAGTACATATTCTGTGAAATTGTGTAATGGAGATATCTGAATGTTGAAATCTGTATACATGCTATTGTAGACATGGTTGTTTTCAATTGTTAGGTCCATGGGAGATGTATTTGCAAACATAATACTGCAGGAACTCATTGTCAGCATTGTGCCCCTCTTTACAATGACCAACCATGGCTTGCTGCAAATGGCCGAACAGGTGCTCCAAATGGATGCAAATGTAAGTATAAGACCAAAGTAATGAAACAATGTATAAGCTATTGCGTAAAAACAAAGTTCTCTTCTGCAAATGATAGTTCAAGACAAATAGTTCAAGACAAAACTAAAACTACCATCTGCATCCTCTTAAAGATTCTCAGTTTTAAAAAATAAGAACAGATACTTACTGAGAAGGTATTATTTGAAGTTTCCCTGAACTGGTGGCCTTGATATCATGGACTACAACTCTCCTAATTTCAAATAGACCATGTTAGCTGAGAATTAGAATCATCATGCTCTAGAATATATTATTTGGAAATATAGGTAATCTAATTCCATTTATTGCTCAGTGATGGGATCCTGTTTGAAAATACTGAGAGAAAGCCCATTGGTTTAAAAAACAGTCCTTAACAGATTATTTAGTACTGTATGGAAAGCATCAGATTGAAGAAAGTCATATTGTTTGGTCTACTGAAAAGTCAAGGAACTCTTACTTATATTTTCCCATAGCATTTAAATAAAAGTTTCTGAATTAAAACCAGAAGGTTTGCAGCCTTCATTTAAAATATAAAAAGTACCTAGAAATAAACACTGTTTATAGCAGTAGTGTCAAACTCGATTTCATTGAGGGCAACATCAGGGTTGTGTTTAACCAGGGTGTGTGTGTGGCCAGTGGGCATGACCATCTCATCACCTGTGTCAGGGGGTACCTGTGGTGGCCTGAGCACTCTTGCCAGTGAAAACGGGCTCCTGAAGCACTGTGGGCCGGTCCTTCGCTGTTTCGGGGTGATCCCACGGGCCAGATCTAAGCAGCCTGTGGGCCGGATCCAACCCGCGGGTCCTGGGTTTGACACCCCTGGTTTACAATAATCCTAAATGTATGCCAAGAAAAACTTATTTGAAATTTGATTAAATTTAACATTTTTAAATGACAATGAATTTTTATTGCATTATCTTGCTTTTACAGTATTTTATTGGAAATATTATTAAAATAAAAATTATACCTGTCTATTTATCCATCCATCTATCCATCCATATAAAATCATAATTTTATCAATTTCACATATGACAAGCTAAATATACTAGAAAAATTAAACAGTAATACAATCTGCTCATTTTATGAAAGCATATATTCTAATATCATTTGCTTACAATATTTACAGTTTCCATGTTGTGTACCTTTCTTTACAAAACAACAAAATCCTGATTTTCTTTCTCTTCCACCCTCCTTAATCTTGGGTATGTTTCAGCTTGTAAATGCAATGGGCATTCTGACACTTGTCACTTTGATATGGACACATGGCTGGCATCAGGGAACCAAAGTGGGGGCATTTGTGACAACTGTCAACATAATACTGAAGGACAGCACTGTGAACGTTGCAAGCCAGGCTATTATCGAGATCTTAGAAAGCCTTTTTCTGCTCCTGACATCTGCAAATGTAAGCCAATACTAATTTTGCAAGCTTCCAACATTTGGATGATTTCTAAAATTAATATATTAGGGTTTTTACCTTAGGCCTCTTTTATGTATACATACCTGAAAGATGCATTCTAGTATACTTTGGATATTAAAAAAAAAATACAACTAGCAAGTACTGCAGAGGAAACAGTTCATTTCTTGCTATGGTTTAGGAGAGAATTTAAAATATACTTATTTTACATGTTATTTAATACCAATATTTTAGGTTCTCTAAATAAATACTGGGCACAATATTCATGCAACATAGAGTTGGAACAAGGGAACCTGAGTTTTAATTCAATCTCAACTACATTTCTGTTCAACCATGAATTTTATTAGCTTTAACCCAGGCAAATAGAGCGGTCAGACTTATTTATATAATTTTAGAGCTGCCATTAGAGGGATTATGTGCTTTGCATGATGATGAACTGTGCAGTGCTTTGGATTCAGTTTAGAAGGAATATAGAGTACAGTGAACACAACTTCTATCTACAATGCATTGAACAGGCTTTGTTTTATTCCTTAAAGTAGCTACACAATCCTGACAAATTACCTCTAATGAATTGCAAATAGATGCTTTATGTACATTCCTATATGTCCCAAAGTATTTTTTCAAATTTAAACCTATATCATTACCCTGATCTCATGTTTATAATTTTATTGTTCTTAATTCTTAAAAACACAACAAAACAGCAATGAACCCTTTTTTTAAAAGTGGGGATTACATTCGTAAATGTAAATTGGTTTGTTTTAATTCATAATCTCAGTATCCAGTTAAGCAGAGAGATGATTACAGATTCTGGTGGTATTTAGCTCTTTATATCTTTTTTATAAAGTTTGCCAAATGTAATTCACACAATTAATACAAACAGATATCATTTGGCATTTGTTATACAGTTGCTTTCCACATTAATAAAGTGGTAAACATCAAATAATATAAAAATCCTCAACTATACATACATTAAAATGAATTTGGTCTTTTCAAATATTAAGAGCACTTCAGAGTTTGTTGAGTGATGCCAAAAAAGATCTAAATAATATGTAATGTTACAGCCAAATCAGAAATGATGGAATCAAAGATGCCTTTAAAGCATGACATTCTAGTTAGCTGAAACAGAGAAATCAATGTAATGAGCAGAGATATTAGAAAAATGGGAAGGAAAACAACTGATGTTTATGTACACACTGGCCTTTACCTCAAATGTTTATTTCTAGTGTTATAAATGAACTGAATTCTATTACATGAGCTAAGATTAGAATAAAGCTTTTGCTGTATAATGTGCACATTATTTCATACACCTAATTTATACATGTCTTCTTGAACCTAATGCCCGCTCTGTCTATATTGTTGGGATTGAAATGTACTCATTTAATTAATTTAACCTTTTTTGCTTCGTATTTAGCTGTAAACTCATATATTTGAGAAGAGCATAATTTTCAGGAGAAGCTTTAAAGGAATATTTGGAAGACTCTAGAGGAATATTTCCCCTGGATACTATAAATAAATTAAATATTCAGGAAAAAATAACCAAGAGAAACAATATGCAAACAAAGCAAGCTGTCATTTATATTGAATATGAAGAACAGCCTCTCATATGTATGTTCTGATATTGCAGTGTGCTCTTGCAACCCCATTGGATCAGCCATGCTTCCTTTTAGCAACAGCACTTTCTGTGACCCTAGCAATGGTGATTGTCCCTGCAAACCTGGAGTGGCTGGTCCTCAGTGTGATCGGTGTATGGTAGGATACTGGGGATTTGGACATTATGGCTGTCGACCATGTGATTGTGCAGGAAGTTGTGATTCAATCAATGGAGACTGCATTAACAGGTGAGTAGAAGAACTGAACAAATTGACTTATCATAAAAGGGGCAAGAATTTACCTTTAATACTGTGTCTGAAGTAGAGGTCACCGAAAAAAGCACAAATTTACAGATTCACACTATTTTATGAACAAAAATAAAAAAGCTTAGTAGTACTTGACTGCAAGATATACAAAGTTAACATTATGACTTTTCCTTCTGAGATGCATACATACATACATACATACATACATACATACATACATATTTGTTTTCGTAGATTTTCACGGGTACAGGTATGCAGGTCTTGGCGTGTTCGGGTCTTTTCCCATGTAAGATTGAGAGTATCTTGGCAACGTTTCAACGAGGTCCCACTCACCATCTTCAGGCTGGTGCTTTCGGCTTCACTTAAATTGGTTTTTATGTTTAAAGTCCTGGAATAAATGGACTTTAGTGAAAATTTTATTCAAGGGGGTCAAAACTGTTTATACATCACAGCAAGCAAAAATTGTTATTAACTTAACTAACTCATGTGAAATCCGAAAGGGTACGAAATAAGGATGTCCTTTATCTCTTTGCTGTTTATCTTGGTGATGGAAGTTTTGAATAGAGATATTAGACAAGGTGGGAAAATAAGAGGTATGAATATTAAGAAGGAAGTTTATACAATCATCTTTGCTGATGATTTGGTTATATTTCTGCAAGACCCAAAAAACAACATAGAATATTTGATGAGAAAATTGAATGAGTTCGGACCTCTAGCAGGTTTTAAAATAAACAAACAGAAAACAATGCTGATTAAAAATATGACATATAAATTCTTAACATGATTATTTTTTAAACTTACTTCTGACTCCTTAAATCTTATAAAAACAGTTCTCTATAATAATGCTTGAACTGAACTGATTTCTTAAGAAAATTTTTATATTATTTCTTTGATTTTAGCAATGCAGACATAGAATGGTACCATGAAATCCCTGGTCTCTATGCTGTACGTAACAAGAGTGAAGTAGCTTGGGAGTGGGAGGAAGAACAAGGATACTCTGCTCTTCGACATTCAGGTAAGAATGTGTTCATAGGCCTGCTAGTCATCTCATTAGGAGGATAGTCTTATTGATAAATAATCAATGAAAAGTTGATTTTGAGAAATGGTGGGAAAACCATTAAAAGGTCACAAATAAAAGACAAAATCTTCGGTAAATGAAACAAGATCTAATCTAGAATCATATTCGGATGAAGTGATTTTAATTACCCAAATTTCTAGGCCTATGTTTTAAAAAGCCAGAAAATTAAGAATAAACTGAGCAAGAATTGGAGCATGGGTAGGCAAGATACTGCTTTTCTGAGGGACATAATCCCCTTCCTGGCCCCGATAAACTCTCTCCATTCATTGTTTCTGGAATGAACATTACCTGTGTGCTGAAACCCAAATTTTTATGCAAATTGTTAGGTTTAAATTATTGATTTTAGACTTTTACGTGTATCACTGTTGGGTACTTTTCTTTTCCCTTTTCTCCCCAAATCAATTCCTTCTAACATTTTAGCTTGGTATATTAAAAGAAAGTGTATCTCATTAAAACCATCGCCTGCAGGATTGGGTAAGCTATCCCTTGTGATTTCATGACAAAATATTTATTAATATTTATATTATTGGATTGGGCAGAAATATAAAGTTTTTTTCCTTTTTATATTCTTTCTAGTGCATCTAACTAAAGGAGGAAATTATTGTTAGCAAGGTTAAGAATGCCACACAGAAAAACTATGAAGTGTCAGAAGATTTAGTCTGAATTAGCCTATGATAAGTTTCTTTTCCTGAATAAATTTTAGAAGAATTGTTGGTAGTGGAAGAATATATTCTGAAGTTTTACATTTCTTTTATGAAACAAACAAGGACCAGTTGGAAACCTGGGGAGAAAGCCACAAGAACTCAAGAAAATCCTGCTGGATTAGGCCAAGAGTTATTTCTTATTTCAGCATTTTGTTTCTCATAGTAGTCATCCAGATGCCTCTGACATAAAAGGAGATGGAGACCTCCCCGCCCCCCATAGTCTTTCCACAGTAATTAGTATTTGTGGGCAATTCATTGATCCAATGTATAGCTAGAATTTCAGAAATATTAATCCCAAAATTAAGCTCCTTCAAAATGTTCCCCATTTGTAGCCTATTAAGACTTCAAGGAGCTTCTTCAAATATTCTGAGCAATCCAGGACTTGCAGTCTCACCATGATACACAAACAGTATTTCATGCAAAAATAATCCATTTCTTGAAAAAATATATCCTTCCAAATACATTACATTAAGTATTATATATTCTTATATATAATACATTCCTTTCAAGTTAACTTCAGGGAATATGGGCAACCATATCATGCATTTGGGGACTTTAATATGATGTAATAGTAGTTAGAAATGATTCATAGTAACAGGTGTTTTGGTGTTTCCACAGGCAAGTGTGAATGTAAAGACCAAGTTCTGCAAAATTTTAAGATCTTTTGTGCCATGAAATATACATATGGTGAGTCAAAATACATACACATATATCCATATGTTTCACACGTGTGTGAATAGCCTAATTAATATAAAATTAATCAAAACTACTGTAACTGGAAAAATAAGGAATAGATAACGCTATATACCATATGCAGAATTTTCAATGCCTTAGAGTACTAGTTCATTAAAGTTATATATATTTACTCTGCCAGAAAATAAGGACTGTGAAGATCTAGTCTGAGATCCTTGAGTTTCAACACTGGAAACTCCTCCCCACAGTAGTAGGATATCCAAGGTATGCCCAGCCTACATCATCACCAAGTAATCCATTTGCAGAATAACTCAATCTCAATAGTGCAGCTATTTAAAGAAGTCTTCAGGCTTGATGGTATAAACAGGTCTTGAGGGATGCCAGGAAGATTAAAAGGAAAGGAACTAACCTAATGAGAAAAATTGTCTAATGATCTTTCTCCCTTGAACTATCTCTTCTTTCTTGCCTTGTACTCATTTTTCTGCTTCAGCATTTAGCACTTTGCTACTGTTCTACCATAAGGAGATTTCTGGCCTTTTACTTTTTGGCCAAAATACAAAATATTTTGGTTGGCACTTCTTTACTGCATCTTCTTAAATATCTTCTTTCTAGTCATCCATTTCACTGAAAACCATAGTCTTTTAGGGCAGTAGCTGCATGTAACTCTAATGATTGAGGTTCTGCATTTTTCTTTTTCTAGTGAGATGTCTGAATTAATTCATGACATGCAACCCATTAGTATTTGTTTTTTTATCTTTCCATATTATATAATTTAACTTTAATAGAGCAATGGTGCCTTACTCTTTGCAACCCAGCTCATTAATTGGCTAGTTAATATTCTGACATTTTAATTATCCAAAATAGTTGGTGTTCTATTACTTTAGGAACCTGAACAAATACTTTAGATACAAACACTTTAATGTGCTTAACATTTAGCTTAGAACCACAGCATAATCCACATGCTGCTTCTTCTCTATCTTTAGTGAGCAATGTTGATGATTTATGCCTGTTTCCCCTCAGTGTTTGCTTGGTAGTCTAGCACCAAGAAGCATGTTTCCAAAAATGATTCATTTTTTTCTTTTAATTCATCCTCACTTTATAGCTGACTCTATGCTTATAATTTTATTTTCTAAGCAGAGAACAGAGGCAGCTTCTGAACTGTATATTGCCAAGTTTCTTTTTCTCAGATCTAACAGTTCCTTTGCACTTAAGCTGAATGCTGCACTTCTGATGAGGCAAAATTAAATTTTCAAATTCATGCCTAATGCATGGCTGAACAGTTACAGAAATTAGTTTAAAAATAGGGGGGGGAATTATGGTGCACATTTAATTATGTAAATCTGAAGCAATATAACATAACAACTTTACTATCTCATGTTGTTTCTAAGCACTAGGCTGTTTGTACTCATTTCTAATAAACAAATTAGAGAAAATTATGAACACTTTTCAATGTCTACTTTTTATTTATAGTTATGCAGGTGGTATATCCTGATATTAAGAAGTTATTAATGTATCATTTTGATTGTTCTATAAATGGAAAGTGCACAAATTATCAGGTTTTTCTTGGCAGGTTTCCAGTGCTTTTAACTGTTGCATTAGGGCCAGCAGTTAATTGGACAAGAATTTTCCTGACAGGGAAATGAAATCAGACAAGTGTTAAGGACAGAGATATTACAAAAAATCAGGCAACCATAGCAGGATTCAAGTACATTTTTTTTCTTGCAGAAGATTCCTTAGCAGACATTTATTCATTTCAAATTCTTTAATCCTACAAACATGATTCACAAAAATAAATAGAAATGATTTTATACTGGATAGGTAAGAAGACATCTTGACTTCTACCATGATTTTAAGTATCTTTGTTGTGAACCTTTATAGGGTAGGGTAGGACTTAGCTTGGAGAAACAGCTTGCTTCTTTCAAATAGGAAACTGTATTTGTTCCAACTACATACGTCTTACTTTAAGGAAGCAACTTCTCTTAGTCTGGACTAAGTTGAAAAGCAGCCTGAGGAGAAATCAATAAGAATAAGGTCTACAGCAGGGGTGGGATGCTACTGGTTCGGCCCGGTTCTATAGAACTGGTAGCTCTGAAGAGCAGCAGACACTGAACCAGTTCAGTGTCTGCTGCTCCGTTTGGCCCATGCAGGTTCTTGGCTGTCCTTTATTTCCTGCTTTTTCAACTTCAGCTGCTTTGCACAGCACAGCTGAGGTTGAAAAAACAGGAAAGAAGAGCGCAGCGCTTGTCAGCTGTCCAGGTGGCACAGCTTAGGTTTTTAGGAAATGGTCTACACGGGTGTGCAAAATGCACTCTCACCAGGGGTGGGATTCTACCTAATGGAAAACCAGCAAATTGTGCCACTGGCTGGCCCCACCCCGCCCCACCCACTCACTCCTTACCTGGCATGCGCGCCATCAAACTTGCCTGGTAAGTTGCTATTTTTCCTCCCCCCCCCCGACCATCAGCTGTTCTGCTGTGCTGGGAGATTTAGATTAGCTAGAAAGCAGGAAATCGTTGGATTTCTTGCTTTCTAGCTAATCTAAAAGCAGAGCTGAGCCTGAAGCTTCTATTATTCAGTGCAGACTCAGGTAGCAGATGGCAGAAACACAGATGTCTAAGAGAATCTGTGATTCTGTGAGCAATTCAATCTGCCTGCCTGCTCTGCCTGATTTTGAGTAAAAGTTGTTCTTTTTTTTATAAAAAATTCAATATTTACATACATGGTGTATTGTGAGTTAATTTTGTGAGTTTGCTTGCAGCGAATTTTATGAGAGAGACTCAGGTATTTGATTGCAGAAAGATAGATATCTGAATGAATCTGTGCTTCTGTGAGCAACTCAATCTGCCTGGTTTTGGATAAAAGTTGCTTTTTTAAAAAATAAAAAATTTAATATTTACATAAATATTTATAATATTTACATACAAGCCATGCCCAGCTAGTCACATGACCACCAAGCCACAACCACAAATTAGGCCACACCCACAGAACCGGCTGTTAAGAAATTTGAATCCCACCCCTGATCTACAGTCACAAAGTTTACTGTGAATTGCTTCAAGGCAAATAACATGCATCTAATTATAGCTTTTTCAGATGCTGCTTTATAGGCAGCATCTGAACAAGTGCAACAGCAATAAAAAAATATATGATTGATTTCATAATATTTTCTTTTTTACTGGATGTTAAAACAAAGAATAAGGGAGAAGGCAAATGTGTTGTGGTCATGTTAAAAAACTATAAGCTGCTGCCTGCTGCATTGTTTCAATGAAATAGAGAATAATCTTATGATGTGTTAGGTGCACAAAATATACCATCAGCAGCAAATCCTATTGTGATAAAGAAGATATTCTTTTGACAATTTAAAAAATAGCAGATTGCAGATTTCCCTCTGCTCCTACCAGAAGATCCTATCTTTAGTATAAATCCTGTAGATGTCCCCATATTGCTACGGATATTAGCAGTAAATATGTTAAAATACCAGGGGAAAAATGTACATAATAGTATGTATGAAAATGACTATTTCTAATATTAGCAGAACTGGATATTAGTGTGAAATGATTTACTAATTATGCAGACAACATCATTCGAAATGGAAAATTGCTTATGAGACTACATTTTTCAACTGCTAGGCTACATTATACTCTTTGATTTAGGAATTTATTTTTAATAAACTGGGAAAGCTACCAAAATATTTTTAGTACTACTTATAGTCTTTCCAACAGATTATCTATTTTATTATTGATATGTGTCCTATTAATAAGAGATGTTCCATGAAAACAGTATAATTTGATGTATGGTATGAATTCTATTCTTCCCTAAAGTACATCACTTTACTTCTGATAATTATTTGTGATGACAGAACTATTTCTAGGTTTCTAACTTTAATTCTACTCATGTTTCAGTGGGGCAAGAAATAAGTAGAAACTCTAAGGTTTTTTTCATTTACAAAGATAACTTTAAATGTCTGAATTATCTTGCTTGTAAGAAATCAACTTGTTTTATAATAATATTGAGGAAAAGCATCACTTGGAGTTTTTTGTTTTTATGTAAAAAATCTAAAATGATGAATAAGCCAGAACTCATGGTATTCTAAACAGATAAACAATAATATATAATTCTTAAAATCAGGCCATAGAACGAATCAGTTATACAGGTAGTCCTCAAATTATGACAGATCACTTAGTGATTGTTCACAATTACAACAGACCCTGCCCACCCCAAGAGTATTCACAACCTAGTCCCAAAGTTGTGTGTGTTGCAGCACCCCTGTGGTCATTCACCTTTATGATCAACTGTAAAAATGCAGCAAAATGCCCACCTATTCCTCCCCTATCTTGTTCCACAAGGTCCCCACAGGCATTGGGCCTGCATTCCACATGCTCCTGTCAACAACCACTCATTTACCTTTCAAAGATCTCCAGAGCTCAGAGTGCTGGGGTAAGAAAGGAGGACATTGCTGGGCCACATGGCAGAAAAGCAGCCATCTTTTTCTCAAACATTGGCAAAGTGTTCTCAAACACTGGCACTTTCCTCCTCCTCACCATTAGTTCTGCTAGTCTTACAGTAACCTTTTGTCGCTAAATGCTACCTTTCTCTCCTCCCTGGAACAGAGGTGGTATTTAGCAGGTTCTGACCAGTTCTGGAGAACCGATAATGGAAATTATGAGTAGTTCAGAGAACCAGCAAATACCACCTCTGACTGGAAATTTTACAGTATCCTTCCCCTGCCATGCCCACCAAGCCATGCACACAGAACCGGTAGTAAAAAAAATTGAATCCCATCACTGCCCTGAAAATAATGGGAGGGGAAGGGAAGCATGCAACCAATGGCAAATCTCACCTTCCTATATGCTTGCCTCCTCCCAGTGAACGCATGCAGCCTACCTACCTACATGCTTGCATTCTCATTGTCTGCATATGTTCGCTGAAAGGAGACAAGCAGATAGGAAGGCGAGATTTCCCATTGTCTTCATACCATTATTTCCAGAGGGGAGAGAAGGCTACTGTTTAGCGACAAAAGGAAAACAGTTTTGCCAGTGTCTGAGAAAAAAATTGGCCACTTTTCTGTCACATGGTCACCTCCTTTCCTACTCTGACATCTGAGCACTGGAGAGCTTTAAAAAGTGACCAGTCAGTATCAGGGGATTGATATGGAGAACTCCCAAACAGCTGTGAGGACCACAAAGGGTGGGAAACAGAGCATGGGTTATCTTAGTGGATGGGAGGAGGCCTTGGGACGCTAGAGGCAGGTGATCTTGGTCCTTTATTAGGCCACCCAAGGTCTTCCCCACCCTAAGGTACACCATGCACACTTAATGACCCTGATTCATTTACTGAACCTCCTCTCAACCCATGACCATGATGGGCAAGCTCCATTATAGTTGTAACCTTGTATTAAAGATAGGATCTCACACTACTTCAATTGATTTCTCTCTTCTTGTTTCACATATATTTGTGTATGTGTATGCATGTGTGTATATGCATTATGCAGTGTACAATGGAATATGGAAATACATAAAACATCACTGTACGGCTTTTAACAGTAAGTAAAAATAATTCTGAAAGGATCTATTTACACTGCACATATTGTTTTTAGTCAATATTTATGTTTCATTCCATTCCAGTGGAATAAAAAGAGAAGATATATTCTTCCTTCTGAAATTGTCTTCCCACAGTGGTAAAGGCAAAGATTTTGTCTGCTCATGATAAAGGGTCTCATGCTGAAGTCAATGTGATGATCCAGAAAGTACTGAAATCTACAAAACTGAAGATTTTCCAAGGAAAACGGATTCTTTACCCAGAATCATGGACTAACCGAGGTTGTACCTGCCCAATACTTAATCCTGGTAGGTTTTTATATATATTTATTTCATGTTTATTTCATAAAATCTTAATTATATTAATTGATTGTATAAATTATACAGATAGTTTGTATATTTACATAAATTTCATTTTGTTCCATGTGCTAAAAGCTTGATGCTTCTGAAAATGAAACTGCCATACTGCCAGGGGTGGGATTCTACTAATTCGCACCTATTTGCTAGAACTGGTTGTTAACATTCTATGCAGTTAGGAGAACCGGCTGTTAGAAGAAATTACTGGCCTAATCCTGTAAGGAAGGCAGGAAGGAAACATTCTGGTGTTGCTTACAGAAACTGTCTCTCTGTTAACCCTTATTACATTCTTGGTAGGACTAGACTTCCTGTCTCAGGAACTTCTCTGGAGTCCCCCCCCTCTTTTGCTGGTACTTTGTGTGGAATGACCATTCAAAGTTACAATGGCACTGAAAAAAGTGACATGACCATTTTTCACACTTATGACTGTTGCAGAAATAACAAAAATATATTGACTAACTGGCAATCAAGCATTGCATTTGTTACAGTAAACATGATGAAAATTCTATCTAAAACTACTTTATTTTAATTTTATTTATTAAATTTCTACACAACCTATTTCACTGAAGTGACTCTGGACAATTTACAGCAGTACTCTCATGTACATTATTTCTCCTTTGCTTGTAATTAACTAATTTTTTAATCTTTCATGATAAGTAATATTTATCCAATATAAGTTAAGCACAAATAATTAAGATATACCATATGTCTATTTTATCGGCAGGATTGAAATATCTTGTGGCTGGATATGAAGATGTTCATACAAGCAGACTGATAGTCAATATGAAAAGCTTTGTTCATCAGTGGAAATCAGCTCTGAGAAAAAAGATCTTACAGGTTTTTAAAAAATGTGTCTGAAAAGGACATTTGTTTATGCATAAAAACATATGTGTAAAATTTTATGAACAACCTCTTAGATTAAAACTGGAATGTGAGGGAACAGTGCCAAATGTAGTATAAAAAGAACTTTAATTCATAGCCCATTCACCTTGACTCAAAACACCTCATTTCAGATTGCAGAAATAGTTGAGCGTTCTTACACAATCCCCTTTTTCTATGCAGTAGGCTGAGAAGTATGAACTAAATGTAACAATCTACAAGTGAGGTAATAAGGTATACATCCACATCTGCATTCCTGCAGCTCTAGCATTTTCATTTTATCAACAATCATCAGTTTCACAAAGCATTTTGTGAACAGAATTTCCTCACAGTTTTTTTTCTGGACTGGACCAAGATACTTAAAAGTAAAACCCATTAATTTGGCAGAATTTGCCTTGTCATTACTTCCTTAAAGTTCTCATATAGATTTAATATCCAATTTAAATGTTTTATTTAAGTCGCACAGAAATGTATGGATAATCTAAAAGTTGAAGCTTTCATTTTCTTCTTTGGAAATATGTATATACACTTGCGATGGATAAAGTAATTGCTGTTATTTGTACTGTTGTAATGAACGAGATTAACTGAATATTACATTAGTTAGTGTATTGCAATCATAAAGGGGAATTTGGTTAGGTTTATATTCAGGTTTCTGTAGATATAAATGGAAATGACCAATGTATTAATGGTCAAATTTATAAAAGCAGTGCATAGAATCTTCACTGAAATACAAAAGAATGCTGACTCAAATTGGTTAAATCAATGGCCTTTGGGGGATTGTGCGGCATGTTGCAGTCATGAGCACTTAAAACAAGTAATAAAAATGGAATCTATCCCTTTAGTAGAATTTTGACTTCAAATATTTTATATATAAAGCACTTTATTGCCTGCCCCTTTCCAGTGTGAGCAATCTAATATTGGGGAACAGGGACAGCATAGGAGAAAGGATGAGGGAACAGAATCTTGCTAAACCTACTAGGATAATTGCTTTTCTTAAAGCATAGCAAAAGCCATTCAGAAAAACTAAAGATAACTTGTGAAAAAGAATATACTGTATTTACAGTGGAGCTCCAACTTCAAAATAATAATTTTATTTGCTTGGTATCAGTTATGATAAGAGTAAACATAAAAAAAACCAATGGAAGTTTATGAAAAGTGTGATGAACTTTCTTAGCACTATGCTGGCCTTAGTTTTTAGTTTTGTAATATTTAGATTTCAACTGTTTTCTTAAATTGTCATCTTCTGCTTCTACATATGGTGTACATACTCTTCCAAAATTGCATATATTTTATATATCATGAACTTCATAACTGGTATCTACATTGTTCTGTTAACACAAACATAAGCACCAAAATATCCTATTTATATGAACATACAAAAAATAAAGGCAAAGGCACCATACAATGTAAATAAAACAGTCATCCATGGTTCATCTGTTATTTTTTACTGTGATCCTATGGATTCTTAAAAATGATACTGTTTTAGATGTTGTTTTTCTACTTTATGTATATAATAAATATGTTACAATTCTAAAAATTGTCATCATATGTTTTTGCAATAGCATAACCTGTCAAAATCTTAAATGGAAAATATTTGAAAATTTTATGTGTATTCAAATTGTAATACTGGTCACTAGGATTAGGACAAATGAGATTCTTTCTACACTTGATGGTTACATACAAATATACACCCATTAACAGATAAATTAGTCCTGCTGAGACTCACAGGCCTTACACTAAGATACATGGATACAGAACTGCAGTCTTATTTGTATTGTAGAACTAAATGCAAGTATTATAGGCTCCTGCTTGAAATTAACTGTAATATATGAGGGTCACAGTCATAGTGTCACAGTTATCTACAAATAATTGCTCTTCTATAGTCATTTAGATGATCTTTCCAATTTTAATCAAGAAAAAAATGTACAAAATTATTTGCAGTAACTTGCTCTTTCTGTGAAGGGTTGGTTTGCTCCTCTCTAGGTTGCAATGAAGTGAAGGATGTTTACCAATTACACTTGCTTGACAATTATCATCTTTCATTCAAGTGACTGTGTTTGGGTACATATCTCGGCCTTGCAAATATGCAAGTGCCCAGATAGTTTTCAGTGGGAAATTATATGAACAAGTTTGAGTTTTAATATAATTACTTCCGAGGACTATATCTTTCTGTTACTAAAAATGACGGAAAATCTAGTTCTACTACAGTATCTAAATGGAGAGCTAAGATTGCCATAAATAACCAATAGTTTTGGAACAAATCTGCAGCCTATATTTTTAGATATTCAATCAAATACAGTCAAGTGATTTTTTTAGAATGACCCCCTACTTTAAAAATCACACTGAAGAGATGAACAACCATATTTGCTGCTACTCAAAGTTTCTACATTTTCTTACTGGTTTTCTTCAGTTCTGAAATCTAACCTTGCAGAAAGGTCAAGTCTTTTCCCACAATTCAGTAAGGAAATATTTATGACTGTTCCACATTAATGAGAGAGGGGTGGGGAGCCATAGAAAGAAAAACAAATAGGCAAATATTTCTGGAAATATTCTATATATGGAAAAACTTCAAGACATACTGAAATACACTGTACATTGTACACTATAATCTACTGTACAAAGTAAAAGATTAGAAATTAAAATATTTAGCATGCCATGATTTTGAAGCTAAATATGCTGCTACTGTGACCGAAATGCTAGGTTCCTGTTGCAATGTCAAACAAGAAAAAGTACCATCTCCTGCTTACTTTGCTTCCCATTTATCTTATGCTTTGTCCTGAGTCAAAGGCTAAGGGCAGTGGTGGGATTCAAAATATTTTACTACCAGTTCTGTGGGTGTGGCTTGGTGGGAGTGGCTTGGTGGGCGTGGCAGTGGAAGGATACTGCAAAATCCCCATTCCCTCCCCACCCTACTAACCTGCCTTCCAGCTCCATTCTCCAGTGCAGGGCAACCAAAGAAGACACAGCCAATCAGCTGAGACTCAGGAGGTGGAGAATAGATGGGGGCAGGGCCAGTCAGAGGTGGGATTTGCTGGTTCTCTGAACTACTCAAAATTTCTGCTACCAGTTCTCCAGAACTGGTTAGAATCTGCTGAATACCACCTCTGGCTAAGGGGGTATATACACCTTTCCTTTACCAGTATTTTATTGCAATAATTTCCATCTTGATTCTTTTTTTGAACTGTGCAAAAACATAACAACTTCTTCAATAAATATGAGAAAGTTCAGACAAAGACCACATTTCTAATAGCCACTGATTTACTCTCTTTCTTAGTTTGTTTATAAAGAACTTTTCTGATTCACTCAGGGCAATTCTTACTTTAAAATAATGGTTTGCAATTTAATATAGAGAAAATGCAAAACAGAAAATAAATAGCTTCCAATTCACCCAATCATTCAAAGAATTAAGATGGATATGTGCTTGTGTTTATGTAAACTACTTAATGCATTGTAATCAAGGAGATTATTAATTTTGCATGTAATATACAGTACTTCATAGCCAAGAGTTATTTTGATATGTATTAGCTGTGATTTAATGCTAGAATTTATCTGACTCTTTTGACAGTGCCTCTTATGTGAATTTAATTATTACCATACATTGCATATAACCCACTTCTGTTCTAGTCTTCATATTACCTGGATAATTGCAATTTAACTCTTAGGACAGTATGATTTATGCCACAGAATTTGCTTTAAAAGTTTATTTCACCTAACTTGAAAAAAATACGTAGAAACAAGTATCTTGAAAAAGAATTTTGCATACCCTATTAGCTTTGTTAGGATTATGGTTAAACGTTAAAATGTATACATATATTGCACTTCCTTATCTTGGCTCTAATATTTGGGAAAAAGCCAAGTTTTAACATCCTCCTGGAAGGCTAAGATTTTCTGTTTTTTAAGCAAAAAGATTAAGATAGGTTTAGGGATAACCGATTAGGTACAGAAGTGTTCCCTTATATAAGCCCAACAGCCAGAAAAACATTTGTGAGGAGAACCACTTGGGAAAGAATTTTTCCCTTTCTGTATCAATTTCAGACAAATAGCACATTTCATTCCTATTCTACAAGTGTTTAAATAGATAGAGGCTTATAGAAAACCACCTTCGCTAGATCTCTCAGAAAACTAGTTATTTCTCGATAAGAATTCCAGGAATACATATAACATTAAATTGTCAAAGCGGGCAAATATGTATTCTTCTCTTTTGATATATGAAAAGTGAAGAAATGTATTTAGCATCCCTGAAACAAGAGCAAATCTTGTTGGCCCCAAAAGTCTTTTACTTTCACTGCAAGAATAAGATGTTCTAATATTGATAATCTGGAAAGTTCTCAATTTAAGAGATGCAGTTGTATTTAGATTTTAAACAAAAAAAATTGGCTTCTTGTGCTTCGTATGTAACATTCACTTCTGAAAAGCTAATTGTAATTTTCCACCTTTTGCTCTGCAGGAGGTATGGAACTTGTCCACTGTGCCATGGTATTTGCATTTAAAGAATTAATAAAAATTCCTAACTGGTCAAAAGACTTTTATGAACATTATGACCTTGACATTTTTACCACCTTGTACGTGTTTCTCTGCAGCCAAACAACAGACCCAACACATATTTCCAAACTATACAAACACCATTGCTTTCTTTAACTATGAAGTTTGTCTCCACTGTTTCAAGCCTAAATGTTTTCATTTCAATATTTTGTTAGATTTTCTAGAGCATCATACAAAGCAAAATTATTATCTCTTGAGAAAATAGTATGCTGATGGTTTTAAGAAATAGCATATTGAGAACTTTTATTCAGTTAATCCCTGGGCAAATAACAGTAATAAAGCAAATCACAACTAAAACCCCAAAATATCTAGCTAAATTAGCATGACATTCTCCATCCTGAAGCCAAGCCAGTGAACGACAGCCTAGTGAGACATATTTTTATTGAAGATTTCAGTCTACAGTACCATTTCTATGAATGGTAAACAAGAATATCTTCTTAGTTGCTTTTAAATTGTTATGGGAAAAGAAAGGTTCGGATGCATTCATTTGGAATTCAAACTTAGGAAGAGTTATTTGTTGAAAAATGCAGTCTAAGTAATCCTTCATCAGTTTTCTCTACTCCATTTATTCCTTAAATTAAAATAATTCTAAAGACATTTCTACACCATCACCCTTTCTATTCCTAATATTTTAAAGCATTTGAAAAAGATCTATGATTGCCTTGTCCTCTACCAATTGTAGTTACAAAGATTAGGAAAGGGGGCATAGAATCACTATGCCACCTGAGCTGCCACATATCTTACAGAAACAAAAAAAACCCTCCAATGGCACTACATGCATAAATAAAATATTTTTGCACTTTCCTTACCTTTTTTTGCACTTTCCATATCCTTACATTATTTTACCCATTTGTTTGAACATAGTACATATAAAAATCCTCCTTAAATATTCTAAGAAGAGGACCTGCAAACCTATAAAGTATCTTTCTCTTAAAAGACACCTTTCAGGGTAGTGAAGAACTGGGATGAGGCAAGAATCCTAACAATTGGAGGAGCAGGTTCTCCACAAGCTGATCCTGACTTTGGACTCTGTTTGTGTTCTGTTGAGACTGGATTTCTGCCTAACGTCTCTTGTTGTGCTGAGTTAAATGACCGGACTCACTTAACATGGGTTCTACCTGAAAATCTGCTGGGTGGTTTGAATTAAAACCTTGAACTCCTTGCTATGTGAGCGTTCAGGGCAGCACAGTCGGAGGGGGAAAGGTCTAACTTAATTGTACCCCATTGCATCAGTGGCAAGACTTCTTGCCGCATGTCTGGGAAAGGTCCTACTGTTGTTGAGACATTAAAGAGAGTCTAACTTCAACACACCCTTCCTCAAAGCACTGCTCTTTCAATCGTTTACTTATAGATATTGTACTAAGCTACTTAAGCAGCAATAAGTTACTGAATTCTCTTGGTTCAGCAAATACATTTAAGTTAGACTTCACATACAAAAAACAAGGATCTTTTCTTCATTATTTTATTCAATAACAGGGCAGAAAGGGCAGAGAAGCTTAAAAGGTCCGTTCATGTGAATGGAACAATTGCCTTGAGTCAACTATTTACATATTGTATATGTATTCCATTAAAATTAACACCATTATTACATAGCATAGATGCAAACCAAGTATCTGAATGTCACCTAAAAATGATTTTTAAAAAGGTGAAAAATGATATTTGGACTTGGTTTCGGGGACTGAAAAAAATCAAGAAATAGCATTACAGAGTTTTTCCAAGAGGAAAATAAAAAGGCTCTGCATCTTTTATTACCAGTTCCAAATTGCTGAATGTCTTATTTCCAGCAATTCTACATATTGCTGGTTTTCTCATTTTTTCTTCCATATAGGTAAACAGAGCCATTATATATAATTAATTACAGTACTAGAGTTTTATCTTTAAATATGATGCAAAGAGGTTTATACCATTTTCCTATTTAAAATGATACCAAAAAGTCAACAACTTTTCAGTGCTTTGTAATACATATGATTTCTGGGGGGAAAATCTTTAAAAAGCAAGTGGAAAGAATTTCACAAAGAATCAGGAATTTTCTACATAGAGAGAGTTGAACAGCTGTATTATGCTAAAGAGGCTAGAAAAAGAATAATAGGAAACGTTTTCAAGTAATCTAAATCAATGTTAGATCTTTCCATTTGTCTCCATGTTTGGAGTGAGCTGCTCTGGATCCAAGTTCAGCCAAAAACCTTACATAAGGCTTTGCATCCATTGAGAATCTTAAGTTGAAATTTGGAAAAACCTTGTCTTCTTAGGCTTATCCAAAGTATGTTTCTGTAAGATTGCAGCTTTTGTATTTCTATTATACTGTAACTATCTTGTAAGAACTATTCCTTAAATCAAGGGTCCCCAACTCCCGGTCCATGGATCGGCACCGGTCCACAGCATGCCATAAACTGGACCACTCAAACAAGTGAAGAAGCCCCATCCACAGGATGCAAGCAACACATGAAACCACGCCCCCTATAGTCCGCGGAGAAACCTCTCTCCACAAAAATGGTCCCTGATGCCCAAAAATTTGGGGACTGCTGCTTTAAATGATTGCTTATAACTTTAGAAAGAGAAATGCAATACTGGAAAACAGATATGTAAGGATAATTGATATGTTATCTTTCAATTAGAGTGAAATTACAATTCTCCTCCTGCCTGTATATACATGTACACCTTCAAAATCTTACCCTTCTGATACAGATGTTCAAACTGCATAGAAGCAGTTTTCTTCTCTGTCCTTTAGCAGAATTGAGTTCTACTAACTAAAACATGCCATTGAATCTAGCTTGTTTATCTTAATTTTTTTTTTTTAAAAAAAACCACTGTCTCACTGTCTAATAAACCACATTTAAATAACAAAAAATATTTATTTTTCCCTTGTGCCATTTCTTTGATCATCTAAAAATCTGGAAAGGTAATCATCTTGAAACTAGTTCCTCATTTTTTAAAAATATGTTAGCAATGTTATATATTCAAGCAAGGGATTGGAATTTCTCCTCAAATATGATATCTTAAGGTTATTTATATTTATCATACAATTGCAAGTAGTATCATGTTTAAGAGGTAAAAAGATATAGCTAAGGAAAACAGATGTATAGTAGCTGCACAGTAATAAATCATTTTTAAAATGTAGTTGAAGATGAAAATAATATTTTACAATAATTATCCAATAGTGAATTATCTGAAATAAATTACTTTTAACTATAATGCTGACATTATAAATTAATGAAGTTTGTAAAACTGGCTATCAATTAAGATATTAAAAGGTTACTCCATTTTCATCTCTCTGTGTACATATATTTCATATTTTTACAGCTCCAAAGGATAATTATTTCAAACATTATCAAAGTTAATAACATTTTAGTACAATTTCATTGTTGTAATATTTGTCATTGTTAGGAAACTTTTGAATCAAATCTTTTTTTTGTTTTGGAATTTACATTATTTTGCTGCACTGTTTAAATATATATTGTTAATGGTAGATAAAAATCACATTTTGGAGCTGAAACTATATCTTTTCAAGCTGGTAAAGCTAAATATCATAGTAGGATATAACTTGCCCTTTTCTGTTAACTAATGAAAAAGGGTTCAAGGTTCCTAGAATTCACAGAAAGCAGGTGGTAAAGAGGATATTTGGGAAGATAAAATTTGCTATTCTCTGAGCATTCCTTGGTTGCCCCGAGGTTCCAAAAAAGTTCTACACCCATTTGCACCATTCAGGTGACCCTGAGGGTACAGATAAACCTCCAAGTGGCCTTAAAGACTTTCAGAAACAGTCTAACAACCAGATGACAAGGAATATAAATCCTTCCATCCTCCACCTTTCAGTCAGAACTGGAGAAGCTTCTTGGATGAGAAGTGAAAAGTTTTCAAGGAAAGACAAAGTCCTGTTGCCTTTTGAAAAAGCACTGTCAGGACAAACATGGATGACTGAGAATCTCCATAAACATTTATTTTTATTTATTTACTAATCAAATTTGTATATCTGCCCATCTCTCAAAAAGTGACTCTGGGTGGCATACAACTATTAAATAAAACAATGAATATAAAAACAACAGATACAAACACATAAAACATACAAATCCTAGGCAAACATGATAAGAATGGCCATCTAAGCAATAAATCCATTCAAACATGTTTCCAGTTCCTTGGGAGCCCAGAACCTGATAAAGAAAGCAGGTCTTAAGGAACTTCCAAAATATTGGAAGATACCAAGATATTTGAGCTAATCTAATCTTGGGAGAAAGAATGCTCCATAAGGTGGGCACCACAGCAGAAAAAGGCTGGGACCCACTGAAGGGTACCACTCATTTTCTGTACAACCTAGGAAGGAACAGTGATAAACCACTTTTGGAAAGAAGTACCGAGAAAACTGTAGGGACTTGTCCAGGCAACCTCTGAGAATTGGACAAAAATGAACGGAAGAAAAAAAAATGTAATCAGTTGTTGTTTCCAGCTGTCTTGAGACTTTTATTAGCTGAAAGGCAGAAACAATTTAAAATATATATTGCATTTCTGAAACCCAGGTTTTCTTTCAAAATCTAATAAATAAATAAAATATAATTATTTTAATGACATCTTAAAATTATAAAAATGAAAATTTTCAAGAAAATTATACCTGATAAACCTATGGGGGGGGGGGGACATTCTGGTGAGAGAGAATTTTCCTGAGGATGGGCTCCAGAACAAATCCAAAGGTTTGGAAGACTGACTGACCTAGATTGGAACCTGCAAAATTATTCTGGGACACATATTTGCCTTCATTTGGGGTGGGGGTTGGGGGGGGGGGAGGGGGTGAGGGGGAAAAAATCATTTCTGTAAGCCAAGGTTATCCTAGAGTGCCATCTTCTGGTCAAAGGCTATAAACTAAATGTAAACCACTCCAAGCTTGATTGTGGGAAGTACGATTTCTGCAACAGAATGGTCAATGTCTGGAACTCACTACCTGATTCTGTTGTTACCTGCTCAAACCCCCACTCCTTTACCCTCAAACTAACCTCTATTGACCTCACCCCATTCCTAAGAGGTCTTTAAGGGGCATGCATAAACGCACAATCGTGCCTACCATCCCTGTCTTATTGTCCCCAATTATTAGTTCCTATTTCTTGTATTTTAACTTATGTTTGTTCTTGTTTCTGTTATATTATAAGCTCTTGACAAACAAATAAATAAATAAAATATAAAGATTTCTTAGTGAAATATCTAGCCAATAAAATTTCAATTTTGCAGATGCTTACTTTTTTATTCTATCAGTAACTACTTAATCCTTGCAGGTTTATTATTTATTTACTTAAATATTGTTATGTGCTGCCTTGTTTAAAGAAACTTTTTTTTAAAAAAGCAAACAAATTAACACGAGCAAGCATGCTACCATTCCTACTAACCAGTCTATGATACTAAGAAAATCCCCTGAGCCATTGTGCCCCCTCTATTAAAGAGTAAAGTTATTACCCATCCCTGGCCTAGTTCCTGCTCAATCTCACCTCATCTAATTTATAGCCATGCATATTTTAATTCCATCTTCTTCCGATTCCTTCTTTGATGCCATGTTTCAAAAAACATTCCACTACTTTTTCTTTGATGACTTTTCTCACATTGAACAATTGTTTTCACATTATACATTTCTAATGTCTTACTAAACAACAAAAATCTAATCTACATAGACCCATCTCAGCATAAAGCCGTATCATACTTCTCAAATGTTATTACTTTTTGTCCCCTTTCAATTATAATTTTTGATTGAAATTGTTAATTGTTAAGTGAATCCATTGTTGTTAAGTGCAGTTGTTAAGTGGAATCTGGTTTCCCCACTGACTTTTAATATCAAAAGTAGCAAATAGTGATCACCAGACTCCAGAACACTGCATTCCTCATAAGTATGCACCAGTTACCAAGCATGAGAATTTTGATCACATGACCCTGTGTTGTTGCAATGATTGTAAGTGTAAAATGGTCCTAGCCAGAGTATCGCATACTGTTTCATAGTCAAGCTAGTGTGTTTTCTATGACTCGAAATTCTAGACCTAGAAAACCTAGAACTATGCCGCCTTCAGTCTGATCTACAGTGTTTCTCACAAAATAAGGCCGGGCTTAATTTCCCCCCCTCTTGCATCCTTGGGTGGATGGGCATCGACAGCTTGGATGTTGACCTCAGCATTGGTGGGGCACTTCGTATCGGGAGACCTTCCGCCACCGTTGCTTTCCCTTCTCCCTTGCTGCCGTGGCGTTTAGAGCAATGCCGCGGCATTTGGCGCAGCCATGCGCGGCCAGCCAGGGCTCCTCCCTGCAACCGGAGCCCTGCGGAGATACTCGGCTTCAGGCGCTCCTGTCGCCGCTTTCCCTTTGCCTTCGAAGGTAAAGCCAATTCTTTTAAAAACGGCACCCTACTACAACAAAGCCTCCCCTGCCCGAGAGAGCAGCCCAACGCCACGTGGGGAGGCGAATCTCCCAAGGCCGCAGTGCAGGATCGGCCCACCCCGGGAGAAGCACCCAGCCGCCATCCCTGCCTGGCGCCGGGCAGAGGGCGAAGAGAGAGAGAGAGGCCGGGAGAGGCCGCCCGAGGCAGTGATAGCGCCCACCCATCCAAGGCAAGGAGACGGCCTGCGCCGCGTCCTCCTCTGAGCTGAGCCACACTGAGTCAGTGCCTCTGCCTGATGCTCGTTCCACTGCGTTTGGAGCTGACGGCGCATTTGGAGATGCGTGGGGATGGGGCCAGGCTGGGCGAGGGGTGGAAAGGATGGGCGGCTTTGGGCTCTCTCCGCCAGCCAGGGAAGCAGCGCTGCCATCACCTCGCCTCCCTGTCCGCGGATGGGTGGGCGCTATCACTGCCTCGGGCAGCCTCTCCTGGTGGCACCTTTGGGTTCGCACTGGAGGGACTTGGGAAGGAAGGCAAGCTCAGGTCGGCCCAGCTCTTTTGCTTGGCAGGCGGGCGCGCACCTGCAGCTCGCTTTCCTGGCTCTGCCCAGCCTCGCACGGCTCTGGCGCGGCCCTGGTGGGATGAGCGGAGGGTCCGTTGGGGAGACGCTTGCTGCCTTGGTGAGAGCTCTGCTGCCGGGAAGGAGGGCCCGCCTGTCAGCTGCGCTGGGCGCCCCAGGCGAAGCTCTTCGTGCTCTGCCCGGCACCAGGCAGGGATGGTGGCTGGGCGCTTCTCCCGAGGTGGGCCGATCCTGCACTTCAGCCCCGGGAGATTCGCCTCCCCACGTGGGGTTGGGCTGCTCTCTCAGGCAGGGGAGGCTTTGTTGTAGTAGGGTGTCATTTGTAAAATAATTGGCTTTACCTTCGAAGGCAAAGGGAAGGCAGTGACAGGAGCGCCTGAAGCCGAGTGTCTCCACCGGGGTCCAGTTGCAGGGAGGAGCCCTGGCTGGCTGCACGTGGCTGCCCCAAACGCCATGGCGTTGCTCTAAAGACCGCGGCAGCAAGGGAGAAGGGAAAGCAAAGGTGGCAGAAGATCTCCCGATACGAAGTGCCCCACCAACGCTGAGGTCAACATCCAAGCTGTCGACGCCCATCCACCCAAGGATGTAAGGGGGGGGGAATTAAGCCCGGCCTTATTTTGTGAGAAACACTGTAGATCGGACCGAAGGCGGCATAGTTCTAGGTTTTCTAGGTCTAGAATTTTGAGTCTGGTGGCATAAGGTATTCTGCAACGAGTAGAGGAGTGGAGAACTCTTCTTGTGAAATATTTCTGGACTTTCTCAACTGTGTTAATATCAGATACGTAATGTGGGTTCCAGACTGATGAGCTGTATTCGAGTATTGGTCTAGCAAATGTTTTGTATGCTCTAGTTAGTAGTGTAATATTACCAGAGAAAAAGCTATGTAAGATTAGGTTAACAACTCTTAATGCCTTTTTGGCTATGTAGTTACAGTGGGCTCTAGCACTTAGATCATTAGAGATGAGTACTCCAAGATCCTTGACAGAGTTTGGATCATCAACAAGGTCTTGACTATTCAGCCTGTATTTTATTTTCTGATTTTTTTTGCCAATATGTAAGACAGAGCATTTATTTGTTGAGATTTGAAGTTGCCATTTGTTTGACCATTCTGATACATAGTCGAGGTCTTTTTGAAGGGTAGCAATATTGTCTGTGGTGTTGAACAGTTTTACATCATCAGCGAAGAGAACGCAGTTGCTCTTGATATGATCACAGAGGTCATTTATGTAGAGTATGAAAAGAGTTTGTCCTAGAACACTGCCTTGGGGGACACCACTGTTGACAGGTACAGAATTTGATAGGACTCTCCCAATTTTGACCATTTGTTGTCTGTTTGACAGGAATGCTTCTATCCAGTTATGCAGGTGTCCAGAGATACCATAAGATTTTACTTGTAGTTTGTCGTGTACCACTGAATCAAAGGCTTTACAGAAGTCTATATAGATTGCGTCTATTGCTTTACCCTGATTGAGTTGTGTAGTCCATATGTTTTTCCAGTGTAAGAGTTGTAGATTACAGGATAGTTTTTTTCCTGAAACCAAATTGTTTATTAGAGAGTAGGTTGTTTGCTTCTAAGTGGAGGATGATGGATTGGTTAATAATTGATTCCATGACTTTACAGGTGATGCAGCATAAGATTGGTCTGTAATTTTCAACTAGGCTGGGGTCTCCCTTTTTGAAGATGGGGATGACTGTGGCTTGTGACCATAGGTTAGGCAAGGAGCTGGTCCTGAAAGATTTTTCAAAGATTATTGTTAGAGGTTCTGCTATGGCAGTGGATAGCTTTTTTTAAGGAGTAGGCACATATTCCGTCCGGTCCAATAGATAGAGATGGTTTTAGATTGCGTAGTTTAAAGTTCTCTTTGAGAAATTGCCACAATTTGTTGTGATCCACACAATCAAAGGCTTTGGCATAGTTAATGAAGCAGAAGTAGATGTTTTTCTGGAACTCCCTAGCTTTCTCCATGATCCAGTGTTTGTTGGCAATTTGACCTCTAGTTTCTCTGCCTCTTTGAATCCTGCCTGTACTTCTGGTAGTTCTCCATACACATACTGTTGGAGCCTAGCTTGAAGGATTTTAAGCATAACTTTACTAGCATGTGAAATGGGTGCAATGTGCGATAGTTTGAACATTTTAAAACTAAATTAAATTTAACTAAATTAATTCTTTAATGTTAACTAGGCTCCACTTTATTTGGCTTAGCAAATTAGCTAAACCAGGCTGTAGTTTATTGAATGAATTTCTACCTCATTCCTAACGCCCCCCCTCCCAAACAAAGACTGTCGCTGTGCTTATCAGCTAAAAAGGGGCCGGTTAGTTTGCGGCTCGTTTTCTAGTTCTGGATTGTAGTTTCGCTCTGATCCAGCGCGCTATATTATGCGAATCCTGGTAACTGATATGAGTAAACCATAGTTTAGGTACCCAAGACTAACGCAAAGAGGAAACACGACTCGAGAGATGCGGAAGTCTTCTATTGTGACAAGTTCACCAACAGCCGTTCTGCCCACCTCCGCTTCACGCACCGTCAGCGCCCGACTCACACGAGGAATCCCCGCCGCAGAGGAGCTGCCCGAGGGAGCCGCGGCGTGACGCGCCGAGGGGGCGGGGCTTCAGAACCCCAGAAGCCTGAGGCGCTTAAGATGGCGGCTCCTGGCGAGGGTTTCTGGCGAGGTCGGCGATTGCGCGAGGGACCGAATAGCTGAGTGGCTTCGGCCACCGACATGGCTCGGGCCAGTCGGGTGAGAACCGGCGGTAGCAGGGATCCCGGGAGGGAGGGGGCAGCCGGGGTGGAAGCGGGGGAGGGAAGGAGGTAGGGGATGCCCGTTGCTTCCCACTGACCTTTGGCCCTCCCCATCTCTCGGGCAGCCCCATCCCGGTCCTCGGTGTTGACCTCGTCGAAGAAGCTGGGCGACGAACATTTATGCCGCTGGCCCTGGAAGCCGCCTTCGCCTGTATTACAGTTTTGCCTCGGAGGTGTGGAGGAGAAAGGCGAAATCTGGCGGCGCCAGGACTGCCTTGGGAGAGGAGTCCGGAACTTGGAGCGGGTTAATTTTTCTACCTGTCTTCTACTAATCTAACTCTCCCAATTCTCTTTTTCATTTTCACTCTTTTTTCTCTGCTCCCTCCCCCGTCGCAGTAATAACAGAGGGTGCTTTTTTTAAAAAAAACAACACCACATTGTTGAGCTTTATAGGTTAAAGCCTTTTTCGGCTTTTGGAAATGGTTGGCTGGTAAGGAAGTGTTTAAAACTTTCTCATGTGCGTGTATACATTGCTCTGTGTTCTGCAAAGCCAGCAAGTATGAAGTTTATTCAACAACCCATAGTATAACAGGATGAATGAATCCAATCACGGTGTTACTCTTGCTTGCTTTTTATGGGTTAACTACATCGTACCAGAAAGAGAGGCAGTGGGGAAAAAAGGAAGAGTTATGAACCGATTTTCTGCCGGCAGAATAATAGAAATAAACTTCTGGAGGAAGTAGTTGCTGCAGTTAAAATATGTTTGTATTGTTGGTAATGTCTAAAAATTAGTCTAGAAAGAATTGTGGTTGGATATTAAATTGGCTGCCTTTTTCCTGGAAAGACTATCTTGCTCATGAATCTTTGTTTTGGAAGTTGAGATACTGGTTAAGAACTTCTTTAGTTGATGGCTAACACAGGTGAGATAGATGCAAGATTAATAGTGCTGTTTTCACCTCAAAACATTTTCAAAATGGACACATTTTTAACCATAAAACTGTCGTTCAAATTTGGATGTTTTTACATAGTTTCCTATATGTTATGAACATATATACATCTATCTTACTTTCTTTGTGTATTGATCTGAGAGTCTGAATGGTTTCATTTTTGTGGCATGATACTAAAAGCACCTTTTCCCTCCTCATTTTCAGGTGAAAATGCAAAACCTAAGAAGCTGTTGGGCTGATGAATTTCTGTAGTATATTCTCAACATTGTGAGATTGACAATGGATAAATGTAAGCATGTAGGCCGACTGCGGCTTGCCCAGGACCATTCAATAGTGAATCCTCACAAATGGCATTGTATGGTATGCAATACTACAGAATCTGTATGGGCCTGTCTCAGTTGCTCACATGTTGCTTGTGGAAGATATATTGAAGAACATGCGCTAAAGCACTTTCATGAAAGCAATCATCCAGTAGCATTGGAAGTAAATGAGCTGTACATTTTTTGCTACCTTTGTGATGATTATGTTCTTAATGATAACGCCACTGGTGACATAAAACTTTTACGAAGTATATTAAGTGCAATCAAGAGCCAGAATTATGACTGCACTACTCGGAGTGGTAGGATTTTGCGATCTATGGGCATAAGTGATGATATTTCACATAATAATGCTCAGGCTTTGCTTCGAGGTCAAGACCGTATGTTCACAGCCCTATGGCACAGGAGGTATGCATTAATGGGCAAAGTATTTAGAACTTGGTTTGAATTAACACCAACTGGGAAAAGGATTTTAGAAGAAGATAAGCTGTGTGAACAGGCAGAAGAAAGACGAATCAATGCTAGGAAGAAAAGAGAAGAGCGAAAGCGCCAATTGAAGGAGGAAATGGAAAAAATACCACCAAGGAAAAGCTTTCGCTTGCAAAAACAAAATGAATCTTCAGTATGTGTACTAAAAATGCCACAAAATTTGGGCTCTGATATAGAGTTGAAAGTAGCAGCTACCTCAGATGATGTAAAGTTAAAAAAAATTAATGATTCTCCAGCCAAACGAAGACCTACTATGACTCCTGGTGTGACAGGACTACGAAACTTGGGAAATACTTGCTATATGAACTCAATTCTTCAGGTATTGAGTCATTTGTTCATATTTCGGGAATGTTTTTTAAAGCTTGATTTAAACCAAACACAAGAGTTGTTAGCAGTTGCAGCCAGTGGCAAAACAAGATCATCTACAAAGCAGCCTCTATCTGCTAGCTTTGATGTTCAAGAACAGAAAACCTTTGTTAAGGACCTGACATTTTTCACAAGGCGATTTAGTACATCATCAGGTTTAAGTGGTGGTGGATCAAGTAATAGAAATATGGAACTTATTCAGCCCAAGGAACCAAGTTCAAAGTACATTTCTCTTTGTCATGAATTACATACTTTGTTTCAAGTTATGTGGTCTGGCAAGTGGGCATTGGTGTCTCCTTTTGCCATGCTCCATTCTGTGTGGAGACTAATCCCAGCCTTCCATGGTTATGCCCAACAAGATGCTCAGGAATTTCTTTGTGAACTTTTGGATAAAGTCCAACAAGAATTGGAGACAGTTAGAGCAAAAAGCCCAGCCCTCATTCCTGCTTCTCAAAGGAAACTCATTAAAAAAGTTTTTAATGTGGTCAACACTATTTTTCATGGACAGCTTTTAAGTCAGGTAAATATTTTAGAATAAGATGATTCAGTGAGTGAGTGATAGAAAATTCAGGGTAGTATAAGATTGAAAACTGAACTTCCTGACTGTCTTATGCTAAATAAGAATCCAGCTTAGTATTGTATTTTGAGTAAGCAGTATTTTGTACTGTTTCAAGCAGGCTTCTATCCCTGCTTACTGCATCACTTATTTCTTAAATTAAGAATTGTCTTCTTTCTTACAGTTTTGCCAGCATATTATGATTGCATAAAAAGGCTTGTGTAAAGACATACCAGTAGTTAGCAGATTCCCATTAATACACAAGCAGAATGTTTTTAAAAAGAAGACATTACTTGTGGCAATACTCTTACACTGAGTCACAAGAAAGTATAACTGGCATCAACCCAGTATTTCTCCTGGTACAAGGACAAAGATTTTAAAATTATTTTAATCTTTTTTGTGTGCATCACTGTGAAGGATTTTCTGCTTCTAAAATTGTTATATTTAATAACATAGAACTTAATTCCAATTTTATTTATATTACATAGGGATTCTCTATAGATGAAACTTTAGAACTACAACTATTCCTCCCTTATGACCACAATTGAGCCCAAAATTTCTGTTACTAAATGAGACTGTTGAATGAATTTTGCCCCATTTTATAGCCTTTCTTGCCACTGTTGTTAAGTGAATCATTGCAGTTCTTAAATTAGTAACACAACTGTAAAAAGAATCTGGCTTCCCCATTGACTTTGCTTGTCAGAAGGTCACAAAACATGATCATATGACCCAGGACATTGCAACTATAATAAATACGAGTCAGTTGCCAAGTGTCTGAATTTTGATCATGTGACCTAAATGAATTGTAAGTCGAGGACTACCTGCATTTTAACAAATATAAAAAAGGCTTGTTCTTTAGTACGGATCTTGAGGTAATTTCAAAAGTGAAATAATGTAAAAATAAATAGAACATCTAAAAATAAGCAACAGTATTTGCATAATTTAAAACTTGATTAAATGAAAAATTACTTCCACTTAGCTGCAGAATGGGTATTTAACTCAGTTAGAGCTGTGTTTGTCTATGGTGGTACCATCTTTTCCAACTAAACAATTTTAGCTTCGCTTAGCTTAAGCTTTTGTGAGCTGTAGCTCACATCTAATGAAGTGAATTGCATTTCACAAAATTAATGCATTTTAATAAAAATGTGTTAATTGAAAAAGGTTCTAATAGAGTCATCCTGATTTTTTAAAAATGATATGTTATATTTTTCTTACTTGTTATGTAATGTAACAATGTACATTTAAACAATGTGCTCCTTTGGATCATCTTGTCAAGCTCCCAGCACTTTGATTCATAATTCAATTACTCCAAAAGGTCTTGACTTTCTTTGATGGAACTGCTCTGGAATTTGAGGTTGAATTCCAATTCAGATAGTTTGTTAGAACTTACTCTGTTGTCCAAATATATTTTACTCTTGTATGTCATTAATGCTTTGTTTGGGGTTAATGTAATTTATCCTTATTTATTAGATTGTTAGATTTAATTAGACTTATTTATTAGATTGTTATCCCATTGCAATTATTTTTTATAAATGACTCAACACAGCAAATAAACATAATACTCCATCCTCCTCCTATTTTCTCCATCACACCGCTGTGAGTTGAGTTGGACAGAGAGAGTAATGCCCTATAATGATAGCTATCATTGGATAATTATTTTGTAGTTGGAAAGTTTGCTTTTAAAGGATCTGCGCTAGGTCTGATCTTTATGAGGGAAGAGTTCATTTCATAGTCAGGTGACAGATTCTTAGGTGAACATGGTCTTCATTTACACACTCCTTTGAGCCCAGGTACACAGATCCACAATTGTAAGAATCCCTTACTGTTGATCTGCAAGCAATCTCTTGTCATGATATGCAAATTCTGAGATATTTACAAGAGTTTGAAAAATAGTATAGTCCACTGAAGGCTGGTGGCATATTTACACAAATTTGGAAACAAGGGTTTTTGATGATATTTGTATGGCGATTCCCCCAGATATTTCCAAGTAACAGCATGTGCTGAGCCACCCATCTCTCTTGTTTTGTTATACAAGAAGGACCATGGGATCATGGATGAAGAGACTCACGAACCACAACTATAACTCTTCACATTTGTAAAGACAAATAGCTTATGTGTTAAGCAAAGTTGTTTTAGTTGGTGGTCTGCCTAGGCTAAATTACTAAGCAAAATCATTTCTAAAGTCAATAGTTAAAGCTAGGAGTTTTCAGTGTGAGCTCAAAATTAGATTGCTCATCCTCACTTTGCATGCCTTGAATTTTTTATTTGAAGGGAGAAGAGAAATAATGCATATGATAGTAAATATATTTAAACTATAGCAACATTCTTTATATTTCCTATAAGACTTTAGTTATATACTATACTTCAGAGAAGAAATGTAAGAGTATTGAGATGTGAAATGGACCCTGTACTTTGGATCCTGCTTTAGCATCCTTGCTGCATCAATCATTAGTAAAAAGTCATGTCTTCTCTGGGCTTGCACATCTCGGGAAATAATGCATTTAAGATGGGGAGATGATGAAAGGGAGCCAACGTGTTATTATACTTTCCATAAGATCTCCTGAATGCATTTCCTAAAGCCACGAGTCTATCATGCAGGCTTAGGAAGAGAATAATGTTAAGGAACTGCCATTAGGTAGAATAAAGTGCCCACACTGGATCTAAAGCAACTTGTTCTCTAGATGCAAATATTTACACTGTACAAATATCCAAATAGTTCAGACTGTACTGTATTCTTTGTCATCTTCATTTCAGTTAATTTGTTCTTCAGTGGTCTTTCCTATATATTTATGCACACCATAGCATTTATTTAGAAATTAAAGCTTTTAAATCAATAAGCCTTTGAGGCTAAAAACAAATTATATTTTGTTTTGTTCAAGTTTTCTACAGTGGCATACAATTATAATATGCAGTATATCCATCCATAATATCTTTATTATACATTTTCTGGGTTTGTTTGAATTGGGAACTTAGTGCAATGTGATGATCCAAATATACTTTGCCCAGATCTGGGCTTTTTCTACAAAGTTTTTTAATTTTAAGATATACAGTTGTATGACATTATATGACTTCTATAAGACTGTACTTTGCTAACCCTTCCAGGGGTGGGATTCTACCAGTTTGCACCTATTCGCCAGAACTGCTTGTTAACATTCTAAGCAGTTAGGAAAACCGGTTGTTAGAAGAAATTACTGGCCTAATCCTCTAAGGAAGGCAGGAAGGAAACATTCTGGTGTTGCTTACAGAAACTGCCTCTGTTAACCATTATTACATTCTTGGCAGGACAAGACTTCCTGTCTCAGGATCATCTCTGGAGTTTTTTTCCCCCTCCTTTGCTGGTATTTTGCTTGTGTGGAGTGACCATTCAAAGTTCCAATGGCACTGAAAAAAGTGATTTGTGACCATTTTTCACACTTACGACTGTTGTGGTATCCCCACAGTCATGAGAGGCCAGGCGAGGAGATGCATGCCTCGATGTGAGTGATATTGAGTTGGCCATACCCAGCCAATAACATAACCACCAAGCCATATCCACCCAGTCACATGACCACCTAAGCCATGCCCACCACCTAAGCCATGCTCACAGAACCGGTTGTTAAAATTTTTGAATCCCACTCCTGAACCCTTCCCTTTCAAAGATAAACTATTTTGAGGGAAAAGCTAGTTTCCAATTTTTGATTTAATTTTTAAATGGCAGTGGATCCACTTGAAATTAAGGATGAGGATAAGTAATTTCTTTTTGCATCATTTATTCATATATAGTTAGCTGTTTTAAATTCTTTAAACAGAGCTGTAAATTCAAATTAACTGATGGTTTATATTGACAGGTAACATGCCTTGCATGTGACAACAAATCAAATACTGTAGAGCCTTTCTGGGACTTGTCATTGGAATTTCCTGAAAGATACCACTGCAATGGAAGGGAGACAACCTGTCAGTATCCATGCTTGTTGACAGAGATGTTAGCCAAATTTACAGAAACTGAAGCTTTAGAAGGGAAGATATATGCCTGTAACCAGTGCAACAGTGAGTAACGACTGTATGTACTCATGGATCTGATTTTAATATATGATGTTAACTATCTAATAGGGTTATTTTAAAAAATATTACCTATGTGAGATATTTAATAACAGAATGTGAAACAAACTGTGCTTACATCATTAGCACAAATGGCTACTCTTTATATTTTGCATGCTTACCAGTGATTGTATCTTGACTGTTCTGCCAATCAAAATGAATTTTATGATAGTTCTAGTGTGATTGCTTCTTTCTAATTTAACTTGGTATGCACAAAAAATTCTGTTACTGTATTTTGGAATAGTTCTAGAATATCTCATTTGTATTTGTATCCTGTATATTGTGCACATATTAAAGGGTATTAATCTAATTTTATAATGTGATCTGCTATAAATTAGAGGGAGGCTATTTTTCTTACAGCAAAACGAAGAAAATTTTCTTCTAAACCTGTTCTACTCACAGAGGCCCAGAAGCAGCTTCTGGTGTGCCACCTACCTCAGATTCTGCGGTTACACCTTAAGCGATTCAGGTAACTAAACTGTATTTGTGCAGTTTATTTTTTACTTTTTTCAATGAAATATTTCTTTAATGGTTAGCAAGCTACCCATTCTCTATATGGCGCCATAATTATGTGTTTAAGAAAGCAGTTAAGAAATGTTTTGTAATAATTACAGCTGATATAAAGTGTTTTAAACATTTTACCCATTCTAAAACAAGTAGATTTATGAGAGAAAGCAAAATTGTTGATTGGACTTAAATTAAGACTTTCCATAAAGTTTGAAGATGAAAGGATTTTACTGATTAGATAGCTTTGTAGAAATGCTAGTTTATACTATATGGAAAAGTAAAAAGTTGAGGCTTGATTTTAATGCCTTATTCTATTGCACCAAAGGGAGCTGGAAATCTACACTTCTTTTCCCCCTCCTTTTCTACACTTCTCTCTTTCTCTTTCCTTCCCTTTTGTTTCGTACTATAGGTAGTCCTCAAGTTATGAATGTAGTGGAGCCTGCCCATTTCATCCGTGACTTGAGAATTCGTGGGAGTGAATTTCGTACCTTGAACGGATATCACTCCCTGCTTTTGCTGAAGCATTTGCTAATTTAATGTGTGAATGAATGCATGGCTCATTAAATGCACATGAGTATCTTGGGGTAGAAAAGGCCGGGGGGGGGGTTCCTAGTGAGGGAACAAGCCACCTACTTCAGACCACCCAAGGCCATCCCTGACCCTCAAGATACCTCATTCTCCCTCCTCTGGGGTCCCCACAATTGCTTCTCCCCACATCCTGCCACACTGGGTGACTTACCTTAGGAAGATCTGTCTCCTCCAGCCTGTTCCTTTGTCCCCTACTTTCTTGTCAGCAAAAGGCTTGACGAGGCCTCCAGCGCCAAGAAAGCAGCCCTAAAAGGCCCTGCACAACTTTTCAGGGTTGCTTTCTTGCCCCAAATTAGTTTGACGAGGCCTTGGGCACCAAGAAATAAGCCCTGAAAGGCCACACACAGCCTTTCTGGGCTGCTTTCTCATTGGCAAAGCACTTGAGGATTGTGTCCCTGTAGGCTTTGTCAGCCCTTTGCAAAAAGCCTTTGCCGGTAGGACCAGGGCTTCAGAGAGACGTGTCTGCTGCTTCCAAGCTCTGCTATGCCAATGAAGGCATTTTGCAAAGGGCTGCTGAAGCCTACAAGAATGCAATCTCCCTGCAGGCTTCGGCAAGGAAACGGCAAATGGAGGGAAGTCCTGAAGGACTAAAACCTTACCTCCTTTTGCAAAAGTCCAGGCCTCAATTTGCAGAGAATAGAGGCCTAAAGTGCGAGATTATACAAGATCTCGCACTACTGATCTTGCGGCATGTTAGGCCTCTGTTCTCTGTGAATGCAGGCAAAGAAACAGGGAATAGGGTGGGTGATGTTGCAGAGCCTCTGCAGTCGTTTGTAAGGATGAACAAGTGCCGTGGTGCTGCAATATTCATAATTTCAGGATTTGTTCGTAAATATTATGGAGTGCTTAATGCGTAACGTCGAACATTTGCTAACAGAACACTCATAACCTGGGAATTACCTGTATTTGCTTTTGTATTTTATATAACAAGCTAATAAAACTATTAAAACATGAAAGAAAATGAGAAAAATACTATGCAACTCACTGGGAACCTCAGTGGGAGTTCTTGGGGTGGAGTCCATATACAGGTAGTTCTTGTTTAGCAACGACAATTGAGGCCGGCACCTCAGTCATTAAGCAAAGCAGTTAAGTGAAACAACTGTGCTTATGAATTTATTTCAGCTTTGCTTTATCAAAGGTTTCAAATGCAAGAACTGGTTGTGAAATTATGTTTTCATCGCTGTTATAATTATAACGGATCACTCATCGATGTAGTAATTAAACAAACCTGTAAGAGTAGTGAATCACAAAAGCAATATACAAAAAATTAACTAAAAATAAAGTCCAGTATATTTTTCCACAACTAATAAGATTGAAACCTATACAACTGGTGAGATTCTTCCATAAAATGCCTATAAGGCCTTTTCAGAATCTATAGCTGGAACCCTGTGGAACCAATGACAATGCAGGATTATTGATTTAAGAATGACAGATTAAGAGGAATTTGAACTAATCACCCAAATATACTATAAGAGACAAATTCCAGTAGCAGGCATTAAATAGTATTAATAGACAGGGGAGATAAAATGAATTTGGGATTCTAAATTCAAAAAGAAAACATATAAGAGCAAATCTTTTGTGGTTAAATTACAAGGTATTTTAAATATTAGAAGAAATTTCTTAAAAGTAAGAACAGTTTGAAGGTGAAGTCAAATTAAGTAGCAAGATTGTTGGAGAATGTTTGCTGGTATTAGAGATCTTCAATTTGAGGCTGGTTAGCTATGTTACAGCTGTCTTAATTCAGATTTTCCTGCGTTGAACAGACGATATGATAACCCAGTTTGGATTCATTGCTGTGATACTGAACAAAAGTGATACTCCTTTGTACAGTGTTTTTAGATTATTGGACTAATATGCTATATGTTATTATAAAATAATTTATAAAAATGAAATAAATAACATATTCTTTCAGAACAAGAAAAATAATCCTAAGTTTCATTTTTCCTCCTGTAGATGGTCAGGACGCAATCATCGTGAGAAGATTGGTGTGCATGTCAACTTTGATGAGATTCTAAACATGGAACCCTATTGTTGCAGAAAATCTCTAAAATCCCTTATGGCAGATTACTTTATCTATGATTTGTCTGCTGTTGTGATGCATCATGGAAAAGGATTTGGTTCAGGACACTACACTGCCTATTGCTATAATTCAGATGGAGGTAATTCATATGAAAGTGCACAGATTATTGGATTTATATGAGAAATGCAATTAATAAGGCTATCTTTTAATGGCAATATTTTTTGGAGATTTTATGTTATAAACAATGTTTGCATTCTTGAGATTCATAATTTGGAAATCTGAAAAAATTATAGCATATCACATTGAAAGATAAGGCAGCTGTACTGCCTTGCATGAAATCCCATTTCCCCTGAATATTAAAAACTGTTTCATATACTGTAATTTCAGATAGTTGTTTCTCTATTGGACAGCTTTGAAAGGTGTGTGTGTATGTGTGTTTTGATTACACTAGGAATGTTGCCTTTGTTTGCCTCTAATTACAAATCACTACACAGAGTGAATGAAAAATGTAATTTGGTTGTGGCCTTCATAGGGAAATGGTTGTTACTATGGCAGTGCAGTGCTGCATTAGTTAAATATTTGGTCTGGTTATATACTGAATAAACTGTAGTTTCTTAAATTATAAAATATCAATTCTGTGCTTTTAGAAGAAAACATCAACATTACCATTTTTATTACTCTTATTTTTATTGTTCTAGGGTTCTGGGTACACTGCAATGATTCCAAGCTCACCATGTGCACTATGGAAGAAGTATGCAAGGCCCAGGCATATATTTTATTTTATACCCAACGAGTTACTCTAATGAATGGACATTGGAGAATGTCAGGTCTTGATTCACCATCTGGAAAACAGGCAAATACTGAAGTTAATGGCTCCAATGCGAAAAGTGACAGCTAATTCAGAACCAAATTGCTATGTACAGAATAAGTTTGGATTGCGCAATAATGTACTAAATCTGCCTTCTGGAGCCAAACCCTATTACGTGTTCAGATCTTTTGTACCTTTTAAACTCATTCATGACCGTAACTTCCCAAGTTATTAACATATATATCTCAATTGTTAAGAGAAAATTTTCCATTTGAATCTTTAAATTTTACCTCAAGCTGTTTTTCAGCATTTTAATATTTTGAAATAGGAAATTTAGATGAGGAATATGGGCGGGCAAACTCTGGACTATTTTTAAATTAAAAGCTGTGTTTTATACTACTTCTAGCAATACTGTGGATGTTGTCTACAGGAATCTGTCTTGCTTCCATGATTAAAAGATGTGATGGTAACAAATGCGTTTTAAGTTTTCTTCTGGCCATGTTAAAATGTTCTTTCTCTTCTGTAAGCAAAGAGTTTAAGTAGTACAACACTTCTCACATTTATATTATTAAAGCACTAAATCACTAGAAAGGTAGCAAGGAACATTAAAATATTATTTCCATAGCCTATTTATTGCTTCACTCAAGTATACTGCTGAACTAAGCTTTCTGCCCCAGGTTCTATATCTAATCTAGTGTACAGGTAGTCCTTGACTTATGATTGGTCACTTAGTGATTGAAGTTATGACGGACCCCTCCCCCCAACAGCATGATTGCATTTGGGGAACCCAGAAACAGGCGTTTTCTTCTGGCCCTGTAAAAATACCCATTGTGGATAGTGGATTTGTTTAATGACCATGGTAATTTGCTTAATGATCACCACAAAATACAAAATCATGTGATGACCCACTTAATAACTAGCATGACTTATATTTTAATTCCAGGGTCAGTTATGATCATAAGTTGAATAACTGTACTCTGATCTGTCACTTGCCATAGTAAAATCAATGGAAGATAATTAAAAAACTGCTTTTTTTGCTATTAACATAATATCTGGAAACCTGGGTTTTTTGATTACTAAGGTTTTACAGCACATGTGTCAGTCAGATTATTGCCTTAATTTTTCCTAAATACTGTTTATAGTTTCTACTGGAAAACAACATTCAAAATATTGCTCTATACATATTAATGATTTTTTATCTAGCGTGTCCCTTTCTAAATGTAAAGGTCTTCGTGGTCTTTTTTTTTTTTTTTTTTGAGCGCTTCAATTTCAGCTGCTCCTTATGTTCATTTATCCAATGCAAAACTGCAGCATAGGCTAGCTTTGGCAATTAAGTGGGTCATTCAGAGCAAATTGGAGGGAAATTTACATTATGACTAGATTGTAATACTGTTCAATGTTCATACTACTGCATCAATGAGGCTCAAATTAAAATTCTCCAGAGCATAAAAAACCCCACCAAAATTGCCTTTAACTTTTTGTCCTACGGATCTAAATATGAAGGTATCTGAACTACAGTTCTCTCACATTGTGGTATTCAAAAAAATTCCTCCATGGTTTGGAGAAACCATTCTTATCTGTTGTGAAATATCCTGTGCAAGTTTCTCAATGGCAAGAAAGGCTAATACCCTACTTTCTCATATAGGAACATTCATGTGGAAAATAAACACTCGTGCCTTCTGAAAACAGGTTTGCAAAAATGACTTTAGATATAGCTGAATTTACATAGAAATCTATTTTAATTCTCTTCATAGGAAACTTTTAAGAATCAAGTTAGCACTCTTGAATAATTGATTTCTTGCCACAGAATAGATCCACAGAAAGCCAAACCAGGAAGTGTAATACAGAGAAGGTCTTTGTCCAAGTTACAATAATAATTACATTGAGTCTCATTCTTAAAAAGTTTAAAATACTTGCTTCAGATATCTTATGGTGGTTAATTATGATTTTCATTTACAACAAAACTTGCCTTCCTCTGCACGTTTCATATTAATGGCTATTATTTGCAAGGCAAGCCTACTCAGCAGATACTTTTCCATGTATTTTCTGCATCACACGAGGTAGCAAAAGATATAATAGTTCAGTCTTGAGAACACAATGGAGGCAGATAACATTACAAATTTAGAGGGCACAAACTCTGTTTTTACCACTTTAAAAGATGCACAAGATTTTCTGTAAATAAAACTATGTGACAGGAACAGAACAGAAATAGATGAAAAATTATTAAGAAATTAAAAGGACTGAGGAAAATCTCAATGAGAATAATGAACTTAAAAGACAATTACAATGCATCAGATTTCATTTCCATGCTGAATTTGTATTCTATGACACAGATTTAATCTTTTAAAAGAAGCCCCAGTGTCTGTACAATCAGTTCAGGTAGTTCTTAGCCTGTGCTTTAACATTTAGGTTATCATAAATTCCAAATGTAAAACCTTTAATTTTTTTTATATGCTTGCCAAGAAAGAGTTTCTTATCCTTTAAGTAATACCATTAGCGACAATAGATATTTTAATCTCAAAGACCTTCTTGGTTTCTCTTGCAAAGAAAAAATATGCCAGGACAGGGGTCTCCAAACTTAGCAACTTTTAAGACTTGTGGATTTCAACTCCTGGGAATCCACAAGTCTTAAAAGTTGCTGGGTTTGGAGACCTGTGCTAGGGTGTGAAGGAAAGGCTCCAGCTTTATTACATAAAAAGTCAAAAATAGCATGCTTATTGTTTATACTTTGTTTTTCAAAAGTCTTAAACATAGTGCTAATTGTTCAGCTGTTTTCAGTTCTATTGTCTTGTCTCCCCTTGTTTTACCTTTTCCCTAGGACCGTGATGGTGAACCTGTGCCACACGTGCCGGAAGTGGCAGGCAGAGCCATCTCTCTTGGGCATGCCAGCAGTCTTCGCGCACGCAGGAGTACCGGAAACTGGAAGAGCAGCTGCCTGGTGCGCATACATGTACCAGCCAGCTGGTCTTTGCACATGCATGCGCATTAGAAACCGGAAGACCAGGTGGCCAGCGGGCATGCGTGCACTGGGAAGCTAAGCTTCCGGTTTCTGGTGCTCCTGCATCTGCACACCGGGGAGCTGCTCTCCTGATTTCTGGGTATGCACGCACGCACTCCTGTTTCAGCACTCGGTGCCAAAAAAGTTCGCCACCACTGCCCTAGGAATTATACTTGATTTCTCATCAGTTCTCTGCAAGGTTTGTGAAACTATTTACACTACTATAAAGCCGTATCCCAGCAGCCTGCAGATTACAACTTGTTTGCAACTTTTTACATGTATATTTTTTTGAACACAAATAATAAGAGCTCAATATTTAAAATATTTTAGTATCTATAAAAACATGGAAAGTTATTAAAACTGAAATATTCCTTCTAGCTTCTTAAGAATCCAGCATTGTGTATTTTTAATTGCAATAGCCAAGATTATAGGTTGGCAAAGCTATAATGTATTTAACAGCTTCAACCTTTCCAAGTTAAATAGTACTGCAAGTAAGAAACCTCTTAGTTTATACAATACCTTAATGAGCTCTACAATTACGACATAGTAGCTCCACCAAAATATTTTAACGATTTTAACCTTTGGATGTTCCATTAATCCTGGTTTGAATAGAACAAAAAGCACTACGGTTCAAACTTTTTGTATGTTAAGAACAGAATGATTCTGTGTGATTTTGATTGGCTTCAACTGTACTGCATAGGAGATGAACTCCTTGTATCAAGCTTTTATAAGTAAAAATTTCTAGTAAGTTAAAAATATAGAAGCTCACACTGTAGTTAATAGAAATAGCCTGTTATAAGACAGGCTTCTATAAACACTAGCTAGTGTTTATCATACAGGAATGGCAGAGAATAAACGTACTAGCCTATTTCAGTAGTAGCCTCCAGAATTCACCAAGTGAGTAGATCCCACACTTGGAATTTGAGAGGGTTGTAACAACACTGTACTTTTTAATAAGCAATACAGTGCCAAAAAAGTAAAATGGCCTTTGAGTTGATTTCACATGACTTCATGGATACACCACTGCAATTTTCTAAAAATACCATAGAAGTATTTACATTGGTTTTTTTTTTTTAATTCTAAGTCTACAATACAGCCTTGGGTTTACCATATGTTGCCCCTTCAGTGCTGCTTAATTAATTTTACAACCAGGTCAAGCAGCTTCAAAATTCCCTCAAATTCTATGCCAGCCCATCATGATTCACCATTTACTTCTCTTAAATCCCTTGTAAGGTTAAAAAAATGCAGCATTTCACTGCAAGAAAAATGGCTAGTCCTAGCGCAGTCTATTATAAAGCAGAAAGAAAACCCAGTAATTTGATTCAAAGCAAAATAATGAAGCAAAATAAAAATGTACACAATGCAGCTAAAATTAAAGCATACTTTGTATTTGCTTGCTGTGCTTACACTGGAAACTTTTTCTATCAAAAGGTGGGTTAATGGGAGAGACTTTCCAGTGTGTTACTGCCTTGGATTGTGATACTTCTAAAAACTATTTGAATTTGTGATTTATTTATTTATTTATTTATTTTACAAAATGCATTCCAGGCAGTTTAAAAGGCAACAGCAAAGACAGCTTAGGTGCAGAAATCATTTGTGATCATTCAAAGCATTCAAGTAAGAATATGATAATATATATACCTGAAAAGCATTTTTTCAGAAATATTTCAAACAATATGTATAACTCATTCCAAACTAAAAATAACACTTTGTAGCATATTTCTCACAAAAGAAAAATATAGAAGTAATCTGAAACATTCTAGAAGCCCCAGTAGCTGTTTTTTTTCCTTAGTTACATTAGAGAACTTGCCTTTGATTAAATTCTTTTCTTCTGAACATGGAAAGTTATCACATTGAGTTGACTGTTAAAACAGACTGCAAATTTATTCTGGCATAACATGTTCCAACAGAGTACATAAGTGAGGTAATGGCTTTGAAATTTCAATAGTCATCTCCTCTGCTGACAACTTCTTTGCACATTGGACGCAACAATATGGTGTGCTCAAACTGTGCTGTGTATGAGCCTTTAATATCACATAGGGGAGGATATGGGTCCACTATACCCAAGTCACATAGGTTCTTCAGTGCCATTAGATATTTACTTTCTCCCAGACGATCTAACCATCTACGGCAAAAGGCAAGAGTACCAAAATTTTCATTGATAACATTCAGCAAGTGTTTTGCTCTTGGAAGCCTAAAAGAAAGAGAATAATAAATGTATACATTTAAAGCAGGTATTAATGAAAATTGAAATAATTATACAGAATCATATCAGACATTCAATATTTGATTCCTCATCAGTTACTCTGGGCAGCCTATCAGTATGTGGTTTTCAATAACGGGAGAACAATTTATGAAAAAAAAATGAAAGAAATGAGAGCAAAAGTAGAGTGAATGAAAATAATGAAATAAAGACACGAAAGATACTTGGAATAATTAAAACAATTGTTTTACAGAATCATATGGAACTACACAAACGGGAAGTATGAACAAGGATGCTTGGGGGAATGATAGTTTGCAGATAAGAAAATTTATATAAGGAGTCCTGCAAAAAAATTAACATGAGAGATTACATAGATGTGGGTTGCTTTTAGAGTGACTGGGCAAATTCTTTGTGTGTGAAAACTTGCTTAACAACTGGAAAGAATGCCAAGACTGTTCACTTATACAAAGGGAAAGGTAGTAAGAGTGAATGCAAAAACTACAGCAAGATTAGCCGGTTAAAACTGCCTGGGAAAGTGTTTTACAGGATTGTGATCAAGGAATATGGTAATGAGCACATTTAGGAAGTGCAGTGCAGCTTTATTTGGTTTATTGGCTTTATTTCCGTGCAGAAAAACAACTATTAATCATGGTGAATTTTCATTCTTTAGTGAGGAGACACATTCCTTAGGATTTGGGATAGAGTCTTCTCAATAACCATCCCATCCTTAATATGCAACTAACTGAAATCCTTATTGCCCACAACATGAATTGTCCTTATTACTTCATATGTGTTAGTACCATTGTTTTATTATTACTGTGATGACATGTCAATATGATTCCTTTATGAGATGAATATTAACTATCCAGAATCTGTCAGGTTAAGCATAATAAAAATGCTAGAAAATAAACAACTGAAGCCATTCATGACATTAAAATAACTTGAAGGCACAAAATTAGGACACTAATTTAATTGGATTGCAGATATTACACTGGTACACCAATTTCTAATTTGTCCAAATCTAATTTTTCCTCCATCAATAGATCCAAGTGCCAAAATGGTAATGTGCCAGATGAACTCACCATTTTCAGAGCAAGGCCCAAACCATGCCAAAGAAGCTAGGTGTAACTTTGAAATATGACCTCCAAATTCATCTTCAAAGATTGCTTATACCATTTTTTTTTGCTTGTTTCATTTGGCAGAGATGTCTGCTTTTAATATGCCAATGCCAGTAAAGCAGTTTTTGGTGATAATTTGCCTACTTTTTATTATTTTATTATTATTGTTATGCTGTTTATTATCTGCTCCCATCTGCTCAGAGAAATAAACACAACTTATATTTTTGGATGTTTCACAAGAGGAACTAAAACTATGTTTCATATAAGCACTATGTTCTTACCACCCTTTTCAAGTTTTGAATCTTTTCCCCCCATAACGTAAGAATACTTAAAATTACATTTTCATATAATGCAGTAAAATCAGCACTAACCTTATAGGCACATGTCCAACATCAAAGTTCTTCATATAATGAGAACATTCCATATCATCATGAACAACCCCCTTTCCTGTGCTACCAAAGGTTTCTATAGCGTATACTTCTCCTTCCTATTAAAAACAAACATATATGAATTTAGTATATGTATATACTATGTCCAAAATTATGAATCTGAACTGGGCTACCCACTCCAAAATAAATCTGGCCATAATGCTGTTTACACATGTTATACGCCAATTTTTTTTATTAAGAAGAAACGTAATCATTTCATTCGTGTCAGGAAGATTGGCTGAATTAACCAGTAAGTCTTTGTTCAGAGTGAAGTTATTTACTTCCTGCAAATTAGCAGTTCTCAAAGGGAATGTATATTTTTCTTATAACAAAGTTCCTAATGGAGTATCCATTTAGCAGTAAAAGGTCCTTTCTTGTGAAGACCATAAGGCACCTTTTTATTCAATGTTTACATGAAGTTATCAGTGAAGGCTATCCATCTGCAAAATGGCAAGTATCAATGGACTGTACTAAAACTGTATTGTATATTATTAGATTTTTAATCTACCTCACAACATCTTAATTTTGATGAGCAACCACATTTAATCATATGAACAGTTAATTTGGAATTATTTTTAAAGAGCAATTATTGTACAGATAACAAAAGATCAGTGGTACAAGAACATAATTGTTTTGACATCCCACTGACCAGAATTTTTTTTCAACCCAGTCCATCCATATTTGGTTTCCTTAATTTGCCTTTTTACACTATGGGTGTTGTGACTGATTGCACTACTTGGCACCCAGTTTGCATTCCAGTAGCGTTTTGTAATTGCATCCATGACATTTTTACAAAATCCCAAAATGCTCCTGCTGGTCAAAACATTTAGTGGAAGTTAAAAATATTGAAATCAGTGGTACCTCCAAGTAAGCATGAGTATGATCAGACTGTATCTATACTTACTTCCATTCTTGTTGCTTCCCCTCCTTTCACAATGGGAACAGTTTTGCCTGCGTGTATCCTATATGGCCCAATAGAGTGTCCATTCAAATTCCGAATAGGTTTCACTACATAAAATGAAAAATATTAAGATAAATAGATGCATGTAAGTAAGAGGGCAGTGTAAAACATCACAGGAAATGTGAGATTTAATGGACTTTGTGCATTTTCATAAGATTTCATAAGATTTGAGTTTTACAAATGCAACTTGAATCTTAAGTTAGTTTTAGCTGATTTGCATATATTTAATAACTAGAAAAATTATATATTCTGAAATAAGCAATTTTAAAAACTCAATATTCAGAGTTTAGAAAAATATATTGATGTTTTAAAAATCAGCTTCAAAATATTTTATTGTAGATATTATATAAGCAAACTCTTCAGTTTTTATCAGGATAACCATACATATTAGTTGGAACATAAATCACCTTGATAGGTTTTACCATCAATTTCAACTTCATAAGATTCCATGACTTCCTGGATAGCTTCACCAACATCACAGAGGCGAACATCTATTCCAGCACACTATTTATATACAAGAGAAAATGAAAATTATTTTTATCTTCACTTTTACAGTATAGATAAGGACAGAATTGTACTATTTCAGAGTATACCTTTATTCCAGTATTAGTTGCATCTTTTACAGCTTGTAAGAGCCTGTCATATTTTGGATTGAATGTGACAGTAAAAGCACAGTCAATGATACGACCTGAAATTAGATACAAAGGAGATAAAATAACTTGCTTCCAACTAAATTATATGATTATGTTTTAAGAAAGAGGAACTCACCATTAATATGTGTTCCAAAATCTATCTTGCAGATATCATCATACTGCAAAACAGTTGGATCTCCAGCATTGGGGGTATAGTGGGCTGCACAATTATTCAGAGAACACCCTGTGGGAAATGCAAGCCCAGCATTTAAGCCATTTTCTCGTATCAACTTCCGTGAACAATCTTCTAGTTTTTCACTAGAAAAAGTAAACAAAAAGGTTTGTTTCCATAGGTTTACTTAGCTGTATAGAAGCCATGTTTCAGCTGTTTCTAGTTATCCATTATATCCAGGCATACCATTAACATTACATAGTACTGCATAAGACTAACATTTTGTTTCAGAAGTATAAATTCTATGGAAATTTTGATTTGGTATGCAAACCTAGAGATATTTCGCAGTATTTTAAACAGTTTTGCATAATACTAGGAGTCTACTGATAACCTTATATATCCATATTTAATTATTCAAAACAAATGAAGAACAATTTTTATTGCTTTATAGAATTGTTATGCTAAGCTTCCACATTCATCAAGGCTTGTACAGTGAAAATAATTAAAAGTTAAACCTACAAAAATGTGATCTACTATGCTATCTTTTTTTAAGTTAAAATGTTAGACTTTCATTATTTTTTTTTTAAAGTTACTATATTTTATTATTACCAAATTTCGATCATGGTCATTCCAGGCTTGATCCAGCTCATAACGTATTTCCTCACTTGTCTATGTGCTTCAGCAGCCTCTCTGAAATCATTCCAGATCTCTTCACTTGCTTGATCTAGTGCTCTCTTTTCATCACTTGTAGTCCTCCAAGCAGCCGTTCTCCTTTAATATTGAAAAGAAAAGTCAAATATTTGTCATCATAATGTGAAATCCAAACCAAGTATTAGATGAATTTCAATTTGGGGGTGGGAGAGTGCAGAGGGTGGTAGTGGAGTCCACTAAAAAAAATGTTAACTTTTCAAAATATTAATTTTCATCTAACTCCAAGTTGACATTGATATTTTTTGCCATATGATTCTACAAAAATGCCAAATAATTCTTTAAACTGTCAATTACAGTTATCTCTTTAAACATCAAAATATTGCATTCACATTATGACTGAGTTCACAGAACAAGCAGAATCATGGTTTCTTGACATCACAACTAGCCTACCTTTACATAGCCCAAGCCATTTGTCTATAGTTCTTGGATCTTGGACAAGCTATCTAGAATTGAACAAACTATGATTTGCATAGTATGTGAACCCTGTTTATTTATACAAGAAAAAATATTGGAATAAAATCTTGGAAGTTTTACTTATATAAATGAAGAATTTGAAGAATTCTACGAAGAATACATAATCTTCCAATTCTTGACTTTGAAAATGTAATAATCAGCTACATAGATCTGCCAAATTATATGCTGAGATTTAAAAAATGGGATTTGGGTACCAGTATACGTTATCCATAATTATCAGCCTTACTCTGCAATGGTTATATTCCATTTTCTCAGGATGTTCATGACACTATTAAAGATCTGGCTATTTCCCCAATCTTTGGGGTAGTGCAAAACCTAAGGCCCTATGGATGGGTTTTCTTTGGTTATACACTGTTTCTGAGGCCAATTGTGATACATAAATACATGCATACACATACATACATACCTACTGCTGCCATTATTAGAAACTTGCTGATATACTATAAATCACACAAATGCCAAACCTATTTCTTGCCCAGATATATTATAAAATGCAAAATAAAATATTTGAAGTGTAGATGAGTCTTCAAAAGTAATATCCTATCAATTAAATTATCAGTGTCTTGAACCCTAAATTGAAAAAGACATATCAAGACACATACCCATCTTGCGTTGCTGGATACTCGCATTCCTCGCCTTTTGGAAATATCCCACTGGGAAACAAGTCACATATTGGAATAGATGGTGGGTCTGTCTGCAGCTTTGCTGTTAGAGAAAGAGACTTTGTCTTAGAATAAAAAAATCATTGTCAACAGATATTTCTTTTTAAAATAATCCTTACTTATTGTCCGAGTTTTAGTCAAAAACCGAGTACATATTAAATGAACAATTCTCAGAATGCTCAAAATTCTCCCCAAAGTTTTTCTTGCCAGATAAATTGCTTGTCTTATGGATACCATGTGAATTTCTTTAAAATATTAACATAAATATTCACATGACTTTCACATGACTCTAGGGTAGAATCTACACCACTCATAAAGCATTAAGGCTATATTTTGTTAAAAATAAAATAGTTGTGTATTATCTGTGTATTTATGTATGCACACAGACACTACAGTTCCTTAGCTTTTAAAAGTCCCTTTAGTCTTACATTTGTATTTCATTGAGAAAAAATGGCTTATCTTTGTAAGGATCATTGTTGGAGAACTCTCCTTCACATAATACTTGCATTCTGCACGCTATATAGGTAGAATTCACTTAATAGTAATTTGGAGCAGTAACTCCATCACTTAAGTGAATGTCTACAGAGGTTTCAGTCATCCAGGTCATGGTTGTCCCAAAGGTTTTCAAAATGCAACTATTTTGCTTGAAGACATTTTGCTTCTCCAGTTCTAACTGAATGGTGGAGAATGGAAAGATTTCTACTAGGAATATAAATCCTTCCATTCTCCGCCATTCAGTCAAAACTGGAGGAATTTCTTGGATGAGAAGCAAAATGTCTTCAAGCAAAACAAAGAAAGTCCAGTTGCCTTTTGAAAAAGCACCTTTGGGACATCACTAAGTGAAGTCAAAAAGCATGACATCATATGACCAAACTGACTTATGACGGTAGTTGCTGCAGTTCTAGTTGCAGCTTTTAGGCGAATCCCACAAAGCTGAAGCACTCAATGGTCACATGATCAGCATTTGTAACTTCCTGCTGGCTTCCTATTGACTTGCTTGCCAGAGTGAAGGTTACAAATGTGACCTGCAACCATTAATTGTGAACTGGTGGCCAAGACCCCGAGTTGTAATCAAGTGTCCACAGGATGCTGCAACAGCTACAACTATGAGAAACAATTATAAATCCTCTTTCAGTACCCTCGTAACTTTAAAGTCACTGAATGAGGATTACCTGTAGTCATTTTCTGTCTGTACATATATTAATTTATTTTATAAACATTTTAAAGCATTGATTAAATCCTTTGTCTCACAGATACCGATAGTATTTTACTGCGACTGGGGGGAAAAAAACCAATTAAGTACCTGATAGTATGTTTAATCTCAGAATCCAAATGTGTGCAAGCATCCATAGAAGACCAAATCAAGATACTGTGTTGATATTACATTTTAATCAGAATGGAAGATCCGCGTTCTTTCACTGATCAACAAGGGCAAATCCAATACTTAAGAATGTTGCTCAAGAGTGTGCCAATGCTATATGGCAGCCAACTAGGCAATGAAACATTGCCTTTATTCAGAATAAAGTAGTATTTCACAAACATTTCATGTTTAACCAACACCTACGTCCTTTCTTTTTCTTCTTTTTCTTCTTTTTCTTTCCTGCTGCACTGTCACCGTCTCCTTCACCATCTACACAAATCAGATAAAATATTAAATACTGAAAATGTCCTAAAAGAATAACATTTAGACATCCAGTTTTCTTCCAGAACATTAATTTGCTGATAAAGTCATAGCAATGTTTTATCACAAATACTGCTGATATTGTGCACTAGATCACATACAATCATAGTTTATTTATACCCCAGCTTTTTTTGAACAAACTGGAAAAAAGACACAATGAGCTCCCACTTCCCATTTTTCCCCACCAAAAAAATGATCTGTAAACTATGATTAATTTTGTTCATCTCTTTGTTGCCTTCCTAGATTTTTTAAAAACATCTCTTTGAAAGGTGTGTAAATATGGTTTATCCTCATGTGTTTACCCATGGCCGATTTGGCTAAATGCCAAGCTTCCAGAAATTCCCTAGCATTTTTAGATTTGGCTTAGTCTAAGATTAGACAGAGAACATATCGTCGTCTCCAGCAGCCAACACTGCAATAAGCAGAGATCAACACCAGAAAAACAATCAAGCAGAAAACAATGTTCTAATCAAGGAACTACACAGGAGGAAACCACATTCCGAACAAAATTGAGGGCAAGATATTGCATATATAAACAGGCAGCAAATCCCAGTCAGTCGCATTGATTATGTTATCTAGTTTACTTATTCATTACATTTCTATACTATCGATCTCTCCTAAATGACTCTGGGCAACTAGTTGAATAATGAAACGTATGCAAACAACCAAGTTCAGGCAGCACAAAGAACTCTACAAAATAACATTAACTATGCGTATGCAACTTTACTGTGGATAGCACTGTATTTGAATTGATGAAACTGTTTAAACTTACATGTCATCCACCCTTTCAGGTAGCGTTTACATTATATCTTTAAACTAGTATACTGTTTAATTGTGCGTGATCAAAGTAACTGGTAGACTTATGGTCAAATAATATCTTTTAACTCTGGTGAACCTATCCTTAAGGAGGAATTAGAATCAGGATATGTCTGCCATTGGTTTACATATTTACAATTGAAAGATTTAAAGCAGATAAAAAGAGTTATGGCTTTGATTTTGTGAAAAATGACTTAGAGATCCTACTGTGTGGTAGTCATGAACATATTGCTAAAGTTTATAAACTGTTATTGACTTTGAATTTGAAGAATGAATATATAATGCACTGCATGATTCAGTGGACAAGGAATTTTGGATATGTCATGCTTGAACAATGGGACAATATGTGGATGAAAGGATTAAAATTTACATTAAATTATAACTTAAAAGAAAATTTTTATAAAATGATGTTTCAGTGGTATTTAACACCAGGTAAGTTTTCAAGAATGCATAAATGTATTTCAAAAGAATGTTGGAAATGTAAAAGTAAAGAAGGGACACGTGGTAGACACGTGACAAAGCAAAGAAATATTGGAGGAGTTATATTTTAATACAGAAGATTCTCAAAGTAAATATAAAGATAAAACCAGAAACTTTTCTTTTGCATTTAATGGAAGAAGACTTGGGGAAAAAATCTGGAACTTTGATGCTATATATGTTGATGGCAGCAAGATTATTTTATGCACAAAAATGGAAGGACACTTTGATTCCCACAATGGATGAATAGCTGCAGAAGTTGATGGAGTTAGCAGAGATGGCAACACTGACTGCTTTGATTAAAGACAAAAATACAACTACTTTTGTTTCTACTTGGAAGCCGGTTCTGGACTTTGTGGTTGAGGTGGAAAAAAACAAAACTTTGATTTTGCATTTTAACAATTACATAGCTTTATACTGTACTATATTTATAGCTTATACTGTTATGTAAAAGTAAGTTTTGATGTTACTTTTTTATTCTACTGCACCAAAGGAAATTGAAAGTTGCCTTTTTTTTCTTTTTTTCCCCTTTTCCCCACACTTTTCCCTACCCTAACTTCCCTACTATTTTCTTTTGTATTGATGTATCTTATAGTATTAACACATAAAGAAATAAAATTTTGGTTAAAAAAAATGTTGTGCACCATCCAGACACATTGGTAGCATACAAGTTTAATATATTATTATTATGCTCCATGTAACAGGCTGAAAACAAATGTGATATGTGTATTCATCTGTTTCTTCCAATCACCCAGAATTTTATATATATTTCATAACCTTTTAATCAAAGAGATATCAGTGTCATATGCATGCAGCATGGCTTGTTTGCGTTTGACAATCTATCAATCTACAAGATTTGTAAATCAGAGTTAGGTGACACTTCAACCTATTTATTTTTGGCATTTCTAACCTACTGCAATCCAATGACCTTTGGCAACATTATTTATTCAATAAACATAATTAAATATCCACTGCTAAAGACTATGTGAACCAAACCATATTTACTATAATCTATATAAGACTGTTTCAACATGAATTTCAGTTCTCCATTCTAGTAAACTCTTATTCTACAAATACTTCTAGCACAAAGTCACATGAATATTTTACCTTCATCGTCATCATCTTTTTCCTTTTCTTCCAGTGTTTGTTTATCTAGTTGGTTTGCTACCTCATCTAGTGTTGTCTCTAACTCTTTTTCAGCCTCTTGTTGTCCTATTTGTAAAATAAACAACAGAATGTCAAACTTCCAGATATCAGTGATCTTATGTAATTCTTCACAATAAATAAAAAACTATACATTTTAGAAAGCATAGCTATACATTCTAATCTATTGTTCACTTAGGCTAAACTCTTCTACTGAAAGAGTTTAAACCCATTTACACTTTCTATCTCCACAATCAGGTTATATTCTTATATCTTATTTTTCTAAACTATGACAATCACAGTTTAGTGCCATTTTGCAATAATTTATTTTATCCCTACTGCTCAACCTATTTAGACATTCATCTAAAAGATCAGTCACCTCTTGAAAATATCGTATTAAATAATGCATTAATTGTGAATTCTGTTAAATACAATTTCTCCTCATCTATGTAAATACTGTGCTTAAATTTTTAATAAAATCTCTCCCTCAATCCAGTTCACAAGCCCTGTTTCTTTACAGAACAGTGGAAATATGCCCTTGTTAAGACAAGATTTCTTATGCAAGAAATCCTCCTGAACACAGCGCACTAGATGTAACTTTCATATATCACAGTATTCCCACCATTAATACCAAAATGACTTATGTTCCCCGCCACCACTTCCCGAAAACATTTTTTAAATTCTCCAGCAGCAGCGGTAGGGCACCAGGGAACAAGGAGATCGTCCGGTATCATTCAAACGCCTTTCCACGGGAACCAAAGGGTTGGTCCACTGTTGTTCCACTCGAACTTAAATATGGCCAACACCTTCGTTTCCCTTTCACGCTTCCCCATATTCAGGCAACTATTCCGCCCTGCTTTCGGAAAAGTTGCTTCCTCGGCCACCCCAACCTTTCCTTTCCCTGTGGCGGCCGGGCCTCTCCACCCTAGCTTGCCTTGCCCGGCCCAGGTCCCTTCGTACCGACAGCGCCTCCTTTGCTTTTCTTTTTCTTCTTGCGTTTTTTCTTGGCGTTTTCATCGGCGGCAACCCCACCGGTGCTTTCTCTTTCCTCGGGCTCCAAAAGCAGCTCTCCGTTCAGGTGTTTTTCCTCCACGGGGATGGCTTCTTGCTCCACGCCCGCCATGTTGAGCGCTCGCCGACGTTCCCAAGACTGCCACTAACAGAAGGCACAGAAGGGGCAAAAGATATCGGAAAGGGCTGCCGCTCGTGCTCCGGCTACTCTATGGTGCAGGAGTGAGGCACGCCGGGAAAGTGGAGAGCTCGGCAAGGAGGCGGTTGTCGGCACGTGCGCCTGGAAGCTTCCGCGAGGTTTGAGTTGCGAACCGCTCTGTGGCTCTTCGTGGGAATTTAATTGTTGTTTATATGGAGTTAGTAGGTCTCCGTCTTTCCCACCAAACTATAATATGGTTCTGAGTTTTACAGATTTATCTTGCAGGAAAGAACACGACCAGTGATTAAAGCCGGATTCAGTTGGAAATGAGCCCCGCTGAACTGAATGAAACTAGTTTCCAGCTAAGCACCAACGGAATCACAGTTACTGCAGCAAAAGTTTTTATGCTGAAGTCTGCTTCAGATGAAAACTTTCATGAAAACTGTGGCCACTTTGTGTGTTTTAAAAGTTTACGATGACAACCCTAGGAAAAAAAGATTTGGACAGTTTTCAATCTGAAAATAACATTTAATACAGCACAGTACTTAAGCAAAATGGTTCAGCTGAGATCTGCATATGTGGGACTGATTGGGGTAGATTGCAGGGGTGACACCGAAATATTTTATCATATTTTATATGTTAAATTATTGTATTATTCCAATTTCATTTTAGACTATATTTTAGTCCAATTTCATTTTAAACCGTATTTTATTCCAATTTCATTTTAAATTGTATTTTATCCAATTTCATTTTAAATTGCTTTTATTAAATTTTAGTAATAATTTGTTTCTGGAACTTTGCACTTTGATATGGCCCAGGGGCTAATAAATAATTGAATACTGCACTATAAGGTGGTACAGAATTCTGTGACTTAGTTTAAAGCTTTTAAAAGAAACATGAAATTGGGAAATTGGATCTCATGCCTCTAAATAGCCTGTTACAATTCAACATATTCCTGATATACAATTTACAATACCTTGAAAAACAGCCTTGATTTTTTACTACCTAAGTATATCGAAAGAAGAAATGTAGACAAGTGTCTAAGCTGGATCCTCATTGTTCTGAGGCTAAGCTACATTCTGTTTTGACCATAGTCTGTTGAATAAATTATAAAGCATAAGTTAGCACATGTAAAATTATAATCTATTGTTGTGTAAATTAAAACCAATTGGGTTTGCACCCAATTTGTGTGTGTGTATATATGCAGATCTTGGCGTGTTCGGGTCTTTTCCCGTGTAAGATTGAGAGTATCTTGGCGACGTTTCGACAAGGTCCCACTCGCCATCTTCAGGCTAGTGCTTTCGATGGTGAAGACGGTGAGTGGGACCTTGTCGAAACGCCGCCAAGATACTCTCAATCTTACACGGGAAAAGACCCAAACACACCAAGACCTGCATACCTGTACCCATGAAAATCTATGAACATATATATATGTGTGTGTATGTATATGTAAATGTATATATATATACATATATATGTTTTTGTAGATTTTCACATGTTTATAGAGAGACGGCACCTCCGATCACACACTGCTTGCACTGGCATGAAGCCAAAAGCACCAGCCTGAGGATGGCGAGTGGGACCTCGCCGAAACGTCGCCAAGATACTCTTAATCTTACACGGGAAAAGACCCGAACACACCTAGACCTACATATATACATATACATATACATGCACATACATACATACATACATACATACATACATACATACATACATATATAATATTTTCCTATCCACTAAGAGATAGCTATAGATTCAATTTAATATGCAGTTAATTGATGTTTACAGCTTTTTCTATGAAAGGAGATGTGACTAGTTAGACGTAGGATGCATGAGACGACTTATTTAAGTTACAAAATGATTTTAATGTAATTTAATTTGATAAAAGTAAAATATATGTGCCAAGTACCTACAAAGCTTTTCCCAATCCAAGAAAGTCATGTGCCAAGGTAATTAGTGCCTTTGCTAGCGAACAAATATAGGAGAGAGGGAGGGACTTGTGACCATAGCCAGAACAATCAGTGGAACAACTTGCCTCCAGAAGTTGTGAATGCTCCAACACTGGAAATTTTAAAGAAGAGATTGGATAATCATTTGTCTGAAATGTTATAGAGCTTCCTGCCTGAGCAGGAAGATCTCCAAGGTCCCTTCCAACTCTGTTAACTTTCTAGTATATTTGGAGGTGAATGTGTGTATTTGCCCCACATGTCATATACAAAAGGCACATCTGTTATATTTGTGTCAAATTATCTGAATTTGATTATCAACTATTTGAATAGTCAACCATTAAGCACTTTTTATTTGCTATTATTTATAGTAGGTGTGTGCATTCTGTACATCATGTTCCCAAACTAGCTGTAATTGCACAAGATAGGCTGCATCCAAGGAAATGACTGAAAGAGTTGCCTTTTTATTCCACATCACAATGTAAACAGGGCTTTTGTTTCCCAGTTGTTAGAGCTGGGAAACTCTTAAAATGATACTTTACACCCAGTGCCTCAGTCTGTTATCCTGGAAGGTAAAGAACCAAGACTGAGAAAGAAAATACTTGATTGAGGATTTCCAAGGGCAAATTTTACTTCAACCACAACTATGCCAATTTTGATGTTCTTGACTGTTATTAAGTCATATAATAAGAGGGTGAAGTACTTCGGGTTTGAATGGAAAAAGGAATTCTTTTAGAACTTATCACCTCAGTTGGCACATATACCTAGCGCTAAAATCTTGGTCTTCATTTTGTAATGTATTTGACTGATTATTGCCAAGTTTCTTTGCCAACACTATTGAGCTTGAGTCAGTATTATTAAGTGCCTGTTTTCATTTGGTCGGCAAAAAGGTGTCCTATGCCCTTCAGTCATAATGGCTTGATATTGGCTTGATAATATCAGAGCAAATTTTCATAACTCCTTAACTTTCTTTCACTTAAATACTATAGGCATCTATAATGATTTGTTACGTTGTGATGTATAATTAATAGCCTGCATGTTTTACTTTGATTAACTTTATTGATGTCTAACAGCTGCCCTGAGTTATGATTTAAGGTGACCAGCACCCATTTTAGTCTTTTAAATAAATATAGACTAAAATAAATTATGGGGAAACTGAAATAAAACTGCTATATGCCATATTTTTCCACTAAATATGATGAATTACAAGGTATAATAAACCATGCCTTTATATCTCTCCTAACTGAAATGGCGCAAGTAGTGGCTTGTATAGATACTAGTCAAAAGTTGTGACCTTGAAGGAAATTCCATTGCTGTACTCCCTTCCCCCTTTATCCTTTCAATTGTCTGTTAGGAAGCTCTTTGTACAGCTGTTACAGTATTCTTAAGGACTTTGCCATTGACAATGATAGGTGGATTCTTTTAGGAAGGAGAAAGCAATTGTTGACTTAGTATTTATTTATTTAAATATATTGGGTGTCCAAAAGTATTAATAGAAGACTTCTATTTATAAGAATTTGTTGCAGAAAATCCATAGTATTATATAACTTGATGCCTTTCAAATGTGCTGGGGCTAAAACTTTCAGAATATTCAGCTAATGTAGTTACTGAGAGGTGAAATTACATATAACAAAAAGGCACTAGGTTGAGGAAAACATTTACAGAAAAAAGAAATAGTTATTAAAGTTACCAGGGTTATTTGTTTGCAAAAAGCTTGTTTTTATCATTCATACAGACTGCTAATTTGACAAAAATACATAACCACTTAAAATAAAATTGAGAAACTAGGCAAAATTAGGTATGTTGGATATGCTGCCTTACATTATTTGTAAGCATAATAAAGTTTTGAATACAAATAAATAAAAATTTCAAACTATTCATTAAAGAACACTCACTTGTCAGGGGTGAGAGAAAAAAAAGTATGTCTATATTTCAAAAAGGGAACAAAAGCGAATGCCCTGAGTATTTGTTATCCTTGGATATTAGCCATTGAAATTATTGTTTAAATGATTAAATGTATTGCTGTACAGTATTGCAGAGGAGCAGAGCTGTCATGGCTGTATGTTTTCATTTCTTTTTTTTTCATCTCCAAAATCAACAATATGGAAATGAGCCATTTTTTTCAACTGGTTTCTCAAAGCCATCAAAACAGAGATAATATATGTTTGAATTTTGACAAACCTGTTATTCTCTCCCATTAAAGCAACATTACAAAGTAAATCTTTGCAATAAACATCAATAGGTAGACTAGTCTGTCATCTCCATGGGCCTTATTTACTAAAGAACAAGCAGACTCAGCCAGCCTTTTAAGAACTGCACTATGGATTGATTGATTGATTGATTGATAGTTTAATTTAATATCATTTGATCTCATCAAATAAAAGGGAGTCTGATCATGTGATAATAGGAGGAAATGCTTTTAACATAAGTAAAATTATAAATCTTAAATACACTTATCAGGAAGTAAGCCTACTTGCACTGGCTTTGCTTTTGAATAAACATAGTTAAATTTCAGATCACTTCAAAAAAAGCTTACAAAGAGAATGCATAACCTCTTTAAGCAGTTTCTAAGTAGCTTACAATTACAAACTTTTATCTGAGGCTGTTTGGAAAAACAAGTACAGATTTGCTTTGTCTTGAATTTAAAAACTGTTACATTCTTATATGATCTATGAATATGGGTAAAGGAAAAAATTGCTAAAAGCATTCAAACAGGAAAAATAATTATCTGAACAAAGCAATTTTGGTAGATCATACCATCATTGGATAAGCCACTGATAATATAACCCAAATTTTTAAATCAGTTCTATATATATTAGTGTGAGCTTTTGTAGACTATGCTCCTTTTTTATCAGATGCAGGAAGCATTATAGCGAGATAAGAGTTTATATGAATGATAATGGAGTGATTAGGCAAGAAAAAAATATGAAATGGGTAGCAGCTCTTCATCCAATAGCAAATGACAAAGTCTTTGATGAATTGAACTAATCAAAGCTTGATATAAAAACATATCTCTGTGGGGGATGAGTCTGCCTACCGAGATGAGGTGGACCAGTTGCTTTCGTGGTGTGGAGACAATA